AAAGTGTTTATCAAAAACAACTTAATTGATTACAATGTAATATAATGGTAAGCAATTCATTGCAATATCCATGTCATGAATATAACATTACAACACTTTTTAAATAATCRACAAAAAAGTTAAAAATAAAATAAAAAGTTTTTCATTCCCTGAAAAATATTGTTTAGTTTCTTGAGTTTTGTGTTTTCAAATTGTTTTTCTCTGAATAATTGATTGAATTTTTTGTTTATGATTTTTGTTTTGTTTTATTATCTACTCTTTCTTTGTCTTCATTATTATTATAATTATTATTATATTTTATCTGTTCATTGATTTTAATTTTTTTTATTTTATTTCCAATTGAATTGATTAATTCAATTAAGACATTTAATTAAAAGGCATTTATTTAGGAATTATAGCTCAAAGCATTCATAAATAACTATTGAATATATATAAGTATATAATTGAAATATATAAGTGAAACAAACAAACAAACAGATTGTTGTTGTTATATAACTTTATTATTGTATTAAATGATTTTGGGAACCGAACCGATTTTTTTCTCTCTTTAATTTATATAAATGCCGTTTACATAATGTTTTAGGAGTGACAGTCACAGCCCATTGTATGTATGTATGAGTCATAAGACGGGTCATTGAGAAATGAGTTTCAGATAAATCTAACAATTTATAAATATTGACAATAGGGAAATAATTTAATTACTAAATGACCTGTTTGATTATACAAGCATTTTTTAAATTAGTTATTATTGATTAAATAACTTCTACATACCATACTTAGGTACCGATATTTTGTTCGTGTATGTATGTGTATGTGTATGTGTATGTGTATGTGTATGTGTATGTGTATGTGTATGTGTATGTGTATGTGTATGTTGTATGTGTATGTGTATGTGTATGTGTATGTGTATGTGTATGTGTATGTGTATGTGTATGTGTATGTGTATGTGTATGTGTATGTGTATGTGTATGTGTATGTGTATGTGTATGTATGTGTGTGTGTGTGTGTGTATCTGTATGTGTATGTTTTCTTCCTTTACCTAAAGTGTTATCAAGTGTTGACAAAAAAAAATAAATTAATAAACCATTTCCTGTTATCGATTGTCCATTGAATCGTCACTAATATTTGCTGATAACCAACAACAGGTAAAACATTAATTTTTTAATGATTAGGCGCTCGCAATGTGTGCGAGTTTTTGCGAAAATTGTAGATAACAAAAGTTGAGACATAATATTAAAAAATATTTATATATATAAACAGTAAATATAATGTAAAAGTTATGAAATATCATAACAAAAATTTAATTTTCTTTCTCTACCAAACATACATCTGGCAATCAGTCAGTCAACAACATTCAGTCATATTTAACATGTCGTTTGTGTCGTGATTTTTATTACAGTCTCTCTCTCTCTTTCTTTCTTTCTTTCTCTCTCTCTCTCTCTCTCTCTCTCTCTCTCTCTCTCTCTCTCTCTCTTTCTCGGAAAGTAATAATTAGAAGATTTCTCAAACAAACGATAATAAAAATAAATGGTTTCAAAAGCAAATGATGTCTTTCACGACTAAGATGTCGTGTCTTTCCTGGTCTACAACATTGTCGTCAATGAATTTTACATAATATTCAGAGAGAGAGAGAGAGAGAGAGAGAGAGAGAGAGAGAGAGGCAAAAAAGTTACATCAGTCATGCATTTGTTAGTCAATTGGTATTTAATGAAATATAACTCATATCTTTAAGATAGCTATCATATCATATCAAATATTATATACATGTACTGGTATACTGTGTAATACTGTATTTCTAATAAATAAAAATATGGCAATAACAATAATACTACTGTAATAAAGTAATAATTTTTAATACGTGAAACATTACGGTAATGTGCGGCTGTATTTATGTTTGTGAAAATATTACCTAATATTAGATAATTTTTAATATTTATTATATTTATTATTGTTATTACCGGTATATATGCGAGAAAAAACAAATTTAATTAGTCTTATGGTTTCACATGAATTCTCTAWTCAATGTATTGATATTTACAGTAATATAAATTATATATTCAATGTTTCATACAGTTTACTGTGTTTTTTATTATTATCATTACAATTATCAAGTAATTTATGACAACACATTATATTGTAATTTAAATTACTGCTAATACATAGAGTTTTATGTAAATTTTAATGTAAATATTTTTTAATACTAAAAATATCTTAAATTATATGCATAAATTTATATTAATAATTATTTAAATATCTTTAATAATTTAAAAATAATTTTGAGCATTAAAAACTATATTAACTAATTAATTAAATGTTAGTATTATTTTTTTGAAACTTACTATTATAATAAATTATGATTATAGTTGAATAAATAAAATAATGTAATTTTGATTGAATTTTAATTTAACATATGATATTTATTTATAAATTAAAGTCCAAATATTTTTTTTACTAATAAATATTTGTTTTGTTTTTAATCAGAGAATTCGGAAGTTTTCGGGAAAATTATTTATAAAATCAATAAATAAATAAGTGATTGAAATAAAAATAAAAATAAAAATTTGAAAAATATTATTTCGGTAATTAATAAAATTAATTATTTATGACAAGTTTATCGTTGGCTATTTTTTTTATTATGACACTAATGTTATGCCATTCAATGAATTATTGATTGAAATAAATTATTAATAAAAATATTATATTGATTTATCCCAATAAGGTATATAAAATTACTGTATAACTTGAAATTTTATTTAATAAAACAAATAAATTATTATTATTATAAATAAAACAATTATTATTCATAAATGATATCCTGTAAAAAATGCTTATTAATTACAACACATTTGATGTTATATTAAAAAAAAGAAAGAAAGAGAGAGAGAGAGAGAGAGAGAGAGAGAGAGATTGTAATTTTTATATAACTTTAAGTACAGTAGTACTTAATATTAAAAATTAATTTAATAGATAGAATAAGAAATAATTAAAATAAAACGATTCATTTAATATATCACAAATTATTTTTTTAATTTTCATTTTGTTTGAAATGATTTTTTTATCTTATATATAATAATACTGTATATAAATAACCAATTTATTGAAAATAATTTTGCTTAACGATCTACTTTTATAAACTTTTGTGTCACAATATGTACTAATATATAAATTATACAGGTACATTATATACTGTACTTATATACAGTAGAATAATATATAATAACACGTGTAATATATTAATATATTGAATATATTATATCTAATTTATTAGTATCAGTTAAATCAAGCGATTAATATATACCTGTAGACTATAAATTATTCAATAGACTATTGTATATTTGAATCATACAAATGTCAAATTACTTTTTATATATACAAATCTGTACAAAAAATTTACTACAATTTCTAATACTGTAGTCTACAAATCAATAAAATATTATTATATAGTTTATCATAAATAAATATAGATATAATATAATGTTATATTATTTTTAAGACAAATAATATGATTGCTTATATTAATAGTTAAATACAATGATATATTGATGCACAGGTAGATACTGTTATAGATGGACAATGATTGTAGATATAGTTATATAACAGATATGTTATCAAATTTAATAAATATGCCATAATATCATTTGGTTAACTATATGTGAAATATATATTATTACCGTAAATTTCCAGTGGAAACTTTATTATTTCTACTTTTACTACACAAACATACAGCTAAATAGCATAAAGTTATTACTGTATATATATATATATTGTATAATATATTGGTCTCACATTTGCCACATATTTGTGTACAATTATCAGCCGTTCATTGACTCACTTTACTCACTTGCGTTGTCTTTCACTGTATGGCTTCATAGTTAACATAAGCAAACATTCAATTGTGTAGAGCAGTGAAAGACAACACTTGATAGTACTTTATTGTTGGCTAAACAGCACTACTGGGGTGGATGTTATTATAAAGTGTTCACTTAAGTATAAGTTTACGTGTACACGTAAGTTATGTGAGAGCCGCGTTACCGTAAAGTTCGCGGACTCCACTTAAACGCAAACTATTCACGCAGTTTAGCGCATGTGTTTTTAAATAATTATTTTTAAAAAGTTGTAAAACTATGGACACAAAAACATCTCTAAGAGCGCCCAATTGGACATTAAAAGAAATTGAAGCTCTCATCGATGGATACCGACAAAAAGCCAATATCATCGACGGAAAGGTAAGTCGTATAGTGGTTAGTACCTTGCGTTGTGACCGCTAATATTTTTTATTTATAGTTTAATCCATCGCTTACAATGGCCAAAAAACAAGCGGCATATCAAGAGTTGGTCAACGAGATTAATGCCGTAGGATTTGCTGGTCGTCGGGATTTAAAACAAGTCAAGAAAAAACTTGAAGACCAGAAGACCAAAACCCGAGCAAAAGCCGCCAAAATTAAAAAATATAAAGCGGCTACTGGGGGTGGTCCTCCATGTGATACAAGCCTCGAACCAAATATGAACCCTGAATTAGTTTCGGGAATAATGGATACTGGGACAGACAGTTCCGTTATCGAAACTAATTCAGAGTCATTAGAGATAGTTGTATCTCATATGGTTGATGAGGCAATTGTGTCACAATCGGAGACTTGTGACCAAAAGACACCGAAATCTCTTGGAATTAAACGAAAAAAGTTATTCCAAGAGAATATCGGCAGTCAAAAGGTCACATCAACACATGCCGAAGAATTGCTCAATATTGAGCAACAAAAAGTTGATATCCAATATCAAGGACTTGCAAACAAAAGGTTTAGATTTAGCCGAACAAGAAAAACAATTAAATAATTTATTTAATTAATTAATTATAAAACTATTTTTATTATTGATATTTTTTGTATTATATTTAATTAAAAAAATTTAAAACTATTTTTTATTTAATTTATTTAATTAGTAATAATAATAATAATAATAATAATAATAATAATAATAATAATAATAATAATAATAATAAATAACTAAAAATAAGACAGTAAATTAGCCCTTATTTCTAAACCGCGATTAGCGGTTCCACTATTGTAGGGCAAGTCATCATTAGTTGTGTCATCTTCATGACCAACTGCTTGTTCTCCATAAAAATGCATTTTTTGTGCTATATTATGGAGAACAAAACAGGCAATGATGACATTAACAGCCCTCTTTGGCCGGAACATCATTTTCCCTGCCGTCCAATCAAGACAGCGGAACCGCATTTTGAGCACACCAAAAGCCCGCTCTACCACATTGCGGGTTTTGGTGTGCGCCAGGTTATAATTAACCTGTGATGGCGTCGTTGGGTTGGTAAACGGCGTCATCAAATGCGGCTCAAGAGGGTATCCAGAGTCGCCCAACAACCAACCAATATCCGGGACTTGATCTAACTTTTGTTTGAGTCCACAGTTTCTCCATATAAAGGAGTCGTGGACTCGTCCCGGATAATTGGCCACAAGGTCAAACCGGAGAGTGGAGTCAATTGTACGTTAATCGAATGAAATCCTTTTCGATTAACGTACGACGGTTCCACTTCTCCCGGTGGGGCCAATATCGGGATATGGGTGCCGTCTATGGCACCAATTATTCCCGGAAAACCGTTGAGGGAATAAAAACCTTGTTTTATTTCCCTCAATTCATTAGTTTCCGGGAACTTAATGTAGTCCCGAAAACGTTTGGCCAAACCTTCGGCCACATTATGGACCACAAGTGACATTGATTTAGTGCTAATGCCTATCGTGTCACCTGTGGCCCGAAAAAATGCGCCCTGCGCAAAAAAACGGAGCGCCGCGCAAACCTGCACCACAACGGGCAGTGATTGCGACCGCTTTGTTGGCCGCTGAAGTTCTTCGTTGAGGAGCACACATATATTGTGTACTCCTTGGCGATCGAGACGATATCTTTGGACACATTCTATGTCTGACATCGTCTCGAGAGGATTTTGGCGGTCGCGGAACCTTCGTGGTCTCCTGTCCATGTGATCACCGATGTCTTCATCGATGGCATCCAATAAAATAAATGACATTTTAATGTCTTCCGCTTGACAGTCGGGGATACTAACCACTATACTTAAATTAGGTATGTGTATCATATACTTTAAATATTTATTTATATGACACACTCATGTGTTTTCATAACACACTTTTCACTTTAAAACTAGTTTTTATCACTTAAGCTTTACCTTAACTTATGCGCAAACTTAACTTGCGTCTGCTTGTTAAGTTTTTTCATAACACAGTTTTACACTTATTTCTTATTTTAGGTGCACTTTAGGCGTTGATAACACGCCCGCCTGTACTATTGACTACACGTTTGATGAGTGAATTGCAGTGCATTGCAGTGTAGCACACATTGAGTGTACAAAACATAACATATGACACAACAATACAGTGTGTTATCAATAATTGTGTTGATATTTGATTAGACCATCGCTTTAATGGACACATTATCACCACAACTGATACCAATCGAGTAGTCAGTGTGTTGTCGGCACCGAACTAATTGGTCAGCTTTGGTGGACATTCAATCGGGTTAACTGTTTGTCATAGCACTTGTGTTGACATCAATTCATAGCGACGGGTGTGTCCTTTCCATTGGGTCCGTCGGCCAAACAAACGCCAGTTTCTGTGATGACCATTAAGTTATATCGTGTGACCGTCGGATCAATTGTCTTACTGGTGGTCGACTTGATTTGGGTTCTGAGCAGCGAATTAACTGAATATCTCTATAACGACAAGAAGTATAACAAACCATTCTTCGCGACGTATGTGAAGACATCGTTGTTTACATTATATTTGTTGGCATTCATTCTGGTCAAGTCGTGGCGCCAACAGTGCCGACAATGGCTGCGATCGGCTAAGTTGGGTGACGCTGTGGCGCCYGAAGACTTCAATTTAAGCGCCACTGCCGATGGCTACTCGTTGACTACGGCCACGTCATTATCAGCTGAACAGCCATTGTATTCAATACTCGACTCCAGTGGTGATCATATTAACGATGAATCCATCGATGACGTCGATTCGTCCATCAGTAGCAATGATTGTAAAACAAGTGATTATTGGAGCGAAAGAGTATTAAGTGATCCGATATGGGTTCCCATTAAATTTAATTCAGATAACAGTTGTTTGAATAGTGAACGAAGCAGTGGTACGGAAGGCACTGAATCTGAGTCCGACCCGAATAAGAAAAGCCCAATGAATCGGAAATCCAATGGCAGTCAAAAATCTGTTCGTTTTTCAAAGTTAACAGAAGTACGACAATTGTCGCAATCGCAGGCCGATGAAGCACTGTTGGCACGACTTTCATATCAGGCCACACTACGGGCACACGAGGCCGCACTGCGGGCCAGTTGTCAGCAGCAGAACAAGTTGTCTATCGGCGAAACAGTCAAATTGTCGCTTATGTTTAGCGGACTTTGGTTTGCGGCCAATTGGAGCTATCAATTGGCGCTTAAGTACTCGGAAGCGGGACTCGTGAACCTGTTGTCAAGCACTTCATCATTATTTACTATACTATTATCTCCTGTATTCCCATCCAACTCATCTTCGGATAATTTTTCGTTAACCAAATTAGTGTCAGTCATCATCAGTGTTGGTAGTGTGGCATTCATAACCATAGCCCAATCAAAAATGGATACAATGGAATATATACCGGTGGGCGCTCTATGGGCACTGAGCGGCGCTTTTTTCTATGCATCCTATATTGTGCTATTGAGATATAAAGTGTCAAATGAGGATCACTTGGATATACCTATATTTTTCGGTAGTTTTCAAAATGTAATTAATATATGATCTAATGATAAATTTTTTGGTATTGAAAATTAGGTTTTGTCGGTTTATTCAGTCTAATATTTCTATGGCCGGCATTTTTTATCTTACATTACTGTCAACTGGAAGTATTTCAATGGCCAAACTGTGAACAATTACTAATACTTCTAGTCAACGGTCTATTAGGAACAGTATTATCCGAGTTTTTGTGGTTATGGTTAGTCATAATTTTTATATTTTCTTTTAAACTAATTATCGCCAATTTAGTTATTGCACTTATTGGCCACAAATTTTTAAATATATTTGATAGTCGATCCAAATTGTTGTATTCATTTTTTTAAGTAATTTAATAATTAATTTTTAAATATAAACTTATCTTTTAATTAAAAATTAATAGATTTGTTTTTTATAGTAACATTATTTATTATAATTTTGTTTTACTAGATTTTATTACAATAAAAAATTATTTGATTTTAGTATTAACATAATATAATAAATGAGATTTGTGTTATAATTAAATTTGTATGTTGCGTGAATTTAGTCGATTAAATAACATAAAAACATATATTCTATGCATAATTYATCTCAAAAAGGGCTTTCCCTACACTTTCATCCCTTTCCTGTTATTTTATAGGCCTAAGCCTATCGATAGGAAATTATGCTATTATACAGTATTAGTATTATTATATTTGACAAATATTCGTATCCATTAATCTTTTAATGGATTATATATATTTTTTGTTTAACTTTTATATATTTTTTTTTTGATTAAGTTTTTTTTAAAGAGATTATCAAGAAGTATATAATTTTTGAAAATTTATTTTATTTATTATTACATTACCGTAGTTTTAAATTAAATAACTAAATATAAGTAAAACTAAATATTTTGTTTGTTATTATAATGACTAAAATGTTAAAACAATTAAATATCTATTACAGGGCCTGTTTTCTAACTTCATCACTATTGGCATCACTGTCTGTCTCCCTGACCATACCGTTAACCATATTGTTTGACGTTATATTAAAGGGTGTGTCATATCCTCGACTGTTTTTTGTGGGCACAATACCGTTATATCTATCGTTTTTTACGATAACTCTTTTATCCCATTACGACAATTGGGATCCATTGGCCTCTTTTCTCATGCGACTCGTCCGCCATTCTGTGCTCAGAAAACCGGTCGTCAGACTAACTGATCCACTCTATAGTGAACAGACTCAGTCACTCATCAATGATAGCAACAATAGTAGCGCTTAAATATCATTATTATAGTTAATTAATTTTTATGTAAATCAATATATATATATATTGATTTTGTTTGTTAGTTTGCTTTAACAAATTTTATTTTGATTTATTAAATATTTTTAGTTATTAATTATAATTAGTATATGATATATCAAATTTTAAAATACATTACTTATAAGAATCGACACTGTATTGCAAATACTAAATGACTTTAATATTGTTTTTTTTATTAAAATTATTGTATTTGTGATTAGGACTGTGATATTACATTATGAAACCACATAATACAATATTAAAAATATATATATTAATACAATATATTTAATGTAATTTTTCAAATAATATTATTTAATATATGTTTACAAATATATATATATTAATATATATAAGTATAATTGTAAAGACAAGTATTTTTGAAATTATGCTTATTTTTGAACTTAATTTTTATTAACTTTTTATTTTACTATATTAAAACTATATTTTTTAAAAATATATAAATCTAGTTAACACCAAACTAATTGAAAAAATTATAATTATGACATATTATAATAAGAATAATTTCAAAAATTAACCAAATAACTAAGCTTCTAATCATGCAATTTATTTATGTAAAAATTTATTAATTAAATTAAATTATAGTTTTTATTAATGTTCAACAAAAAAATGTTCAATATTTATTAATAATTAAACTTCATGTAGTTTTTATTATTATTATCATTTTTTTTAAATCAAGACTAGTGTTATAAATAAAATGATAGAAATTTACAAAAAATTATACAAAAATATAGACATAAATTAATTTGTAATTTGTTGGCAACCGATTGCTGGATGTGTTCCGTGCGGATGGTCTCTAATGTCGATAACGACGATTCCGACACTATATTGTCAACAGTAATCTGATGGCCACTAAATTGAACGCATTGTGAATACAATTGCGGTCGTTGTCGACCATCAGAATCGATGCCATTAATACATACAATATATTCTTCTCCTTCTTGTAGACCATTGGCCTGATATTCACGGGAAGTATAGTCAACAGTTTCGTTGACAAATATCTGATGTCTATTCCGGATAACAACCCGAAACTGAGCCAAATCGTCGACCCGATTGATAATAAACCATACAATACGCAATAAGTTGCGCCGTCTTCGTGACCATTCAATACCCCGAATGCGAACATCACTTTTGTCGACAAAAAATTTTGAGTATTTATCTAACGATTCTTTATCACAATTAGCCAATTGTTTAGGTTTTAGATCAGCCACCGATTGATTTAACAAAATCAATGGATCGCCGCATTTGACTGATGACCAGTGATCATAGATCAGCGATGGGCGACCTTCCAGTTGACTCTTGTGAACGTCACCACTAATCCAAGCCAACAGTGGTAGCAAATGACAGTCACAATATAATTGATTATCTAATTAATAGGTAAAACATAAAAATTATTTTCAAAAGTGTTTAAAATATTTATTTTTTTTTTAAATAAATACAATTAAAATGAAATTTCACTCCAGACTTGATTTGAGATAAAAACTCTTGGTTTATATGAGTCAATCGGTTACCAATCAAATCAAGCTCTTGAAGTGATTTCATTTTTGTTATCTCTTGCGTATAGATTGTGGAAATCTTGTTATTAGCAAACGTTAAATATTTTAAATTATTCATTGAATCGCCAAACAATCCTTTATCTAATTTCCTCATTTGATTGCCCGATACATCCAAATGTAATAATTGTGTCAAATTTGTTAATACATTCAATTGTATGTCATTAATGACATTGTCTTTAAGCGATAGCCACTCGACTTTGCCGAGTCCATCATCAAAATGTCTGGTGAGGATTGGCATTAAATTGTTGGACAGATCCAAGTGTTTAAGTTTGTAGGGAATCCACGGCGACGAAGGAAACGATTTTTCTTTGATCAGTGATATTGCATTATAAGAGAGATTCAAGTACTCCATCGACAGCAACGACTCGAATAAACTGTTAGTCTTGTTGTCTAATTGTTTGATGTCATTGTGCGATAAGTCGAGGACTCTTAATGAGACCAAACTGCTGAACACATCGGGTTTGAGTTCATCGATTTGATTGTAACTCAGATTGAGTTTCAACAGCTGAAGCAAACCATCAAACGCCAAACCACTGATATTGTGGATGTGATTGTGATCGAGACGTACGTCAAACAATACACCCATTCTTCCGATAGCTCTGGCATTTAGAGAACTGATGTTATTTGCGCTCAGATTAAGGAACTGTAAAGAATTCAAGTGTTTTAGCGACCGTTCGGGAACTTCATCTAAACTATTGTGACTCAAAGACAGAGTTCGTAGTGTTAGACAATTAGCAAATGAGTTGTCCTCAAGAGTGGTCAGATTGTTGTAATCTAAATATAGTGCCAGTAAAGCATTAATCTGTGGAAATATATTGGATCTAATGATCGATATGTTATTCCTCTCCAGATGTAACTCATTCAGCGCCACAGATATGGGAAACATTTTGGTTATCCGATTATCATTTAAATAGATAGTCTTTACTGAAACTAATGAAGAAACTCCGCCATTAGTAATCTCTGAAATGTTATTATGAGAGATGTCCAGCTCTAAGAGTGGCGGAAGTGTTCCGAAAGTTGAGAAACCGATTTTTCTTAAACGATTAAAAGACAAATAAATGAAACGAATGGATGCAAACTTTTCGAAGACATTTCCATTAATATCAGTGATGTTATTGTGACTCAAATCGATGGTGTGGACCTCAAACAGCCTTTTCGGTGTAAAATGCTTGCGATCCAAGTCTGTAATCTGATTGTGGGTCAGATTTATCAGTCGCAGACCAGTCATGTTGGCAAAGATGTCTACTTTTGAAAGGTTTGTTATCAGATTGTGTTGCAAATGAAGAATAGTCACATCGCATGAGTCAAATGCCATACGTTTGACTCTTTCAATGCTATTGTACGATAGGTCCAGTTCTGTGATATTGGCTATCTCTTGGAAGGCATGCGTTTCAATCAATGATAAATTATTATGACTCAAATTGATGGACAATTGAAACATTCGTTGAAAAGCACCCCTATTTATGGTTGTAATACGGTTTCGACTCAGATCTAACCGATCCAACCATTGCATCTCTTTGAACATTTCAGTTTCAATCACTTCCAGTAAATTTTCTCCAAAATCTAGAGTCTTGAGTCGTGTTGTAGACGAAAAAGAGTTTCGAGCAATTTCAGTGATGGCATTTCCTCTGACCAAAAAGTCTTTCAAGAATCGGACACCTCTTAACATATAAGTGTCGATCACTTTAAGTCGATTGTAGGACAGATCAAGTGTTCGCAATTGGGAACTCCTGGCCAACAAACTTTTTGGCAATTCTTGAAGCTCATTGTGCGACAAGTTTAGTGTCATTATAGTTGTCAAGTCATTAAAGTCAGATTTACCGATCTCTTTGAATGAGTTATACGATAAGTCCAGTACTTTGAGTTTCTTAAGTGAACGAAACAGATTCCTCTCGAGTTTAGACAACTTGTTATGCGATAAATCAAGAGTTTCCAGTAATATCAAGCCATTCAATGCACTGGACTCTACTTTTTTGATGGCATTATCACTTAAGTCAAGTTCAATGAGATTTACAAGTTTGCTGAAGACATTGTTTTTGATTTCGGTGACGGCATTGTTGCCCGTGAAGACTAGTTTTGTCAGATTTGTTAACTTATTGATTGCATTTTCGGGAAATCTTGTTATACGGTTTTTTACCAGTGATAGAGACTGAAGTTTTTTGCTCAGAGGTGCCAAAACATTGTCATCAATGGTCGCTACACTTGAGTTGACGATCTTCAAGTTGATAACACTTTGATCTTTAAAAACTGATCCAAAAAGCCGCCCGATGTTGGCTTCCGATATTGAAAGCCATTCAACGGTTTGCTTTATATTATCCAAACCTAATGATATCATTGCTATGTTTGCTTCTTTGCACTCAACATTAAGACCCTTATAACTGCCGTTAAGACAACGACACGGATATATGAAGAACTGGTTGGTTGGACACAAAAACTTATCGTTGCCATCGATAAGAGATATTAAAAATACTGACAATATTATCAAAGATATAAAACTTTTCTTATTAGACATCATTTACTTGAATATTGAAATTTTCAAATATCATAAATGATTCATTGATTTTTATGTTTAACCAAATGGAAAAATCATATAATTTAAAATCAAAAATTTAATTCCAAACATTGCTATCATTTAATTTTTTTATATTTTTCAATCACTATGTCTTTGACATTAAAAATCTTCAAATGTGAGAAACACAACAACAAAAATTAATTTAACTTTCAAATTATTTTTTTGTCTTCATGTGAATTGAGAATTATAGCAAAAAAATCAATTATAATAAAAACTTAATAATAATTATGTATTTTATAATTAATTTTTAGAAATAATGATTTAAATTTAATCAAATGATTAAAATGGTTGTTTTTCTTACATATTATGTTTGTGTCCATAAAATTATATGACAACACATATATATATATCTTGTGGTGGTATAGATTGTGACCTAATTTTTATATTATACACAATACAACATTCATGTCTTAAATATATTGTATATAAAAAAAAGTTATAACAAATTGTTGTATTTTTTGAGGTCATCAACTTTTTTAAAAAAAAAATACATCTCATATAAACTTTTTTACCGCTATTTTAGTTATTTAAGACTAAACTTTACAGTGTATACGAATTATTATATACTGTATAACTTATATATATAAAGTTTTTACTTTTTAAAATAAATATTTAATAATTTTATAGAATTAATATGTTTTTTATCTAAATTTATAATAAAATATAATGCAATTGGTTTTTGGAGATATAATTAAATACACAAAGAAACTAAAAAAATAAGAGTTCACGAAATTGTATTTAATATTTTTTTATTATTAAATTGTTAGACCACAAAAATTTCTATTAAAACCAACATAAAAATTATTTCAATTTATTCCATAATTATATTGAAATTTATTTTTGTATATTAATATATCTACTATATAATAATATACTGTACTGTATATTAAAAGTACAGTACAAATCAATTTAATTTTATGTTTACTTTTAAAAAAAATACTTAAAATGGAATAATTAAAAATACATTTATTGTCTAATTTAACATTAATAACTATAATTTATTTTTTTAAATAAAGAATAAAATAACTTAACTATAGCTAAATATACAATTTAATAGTATTAATAGTTATAAAAATAATTAAACATCAGTTGATAACTACCGGAATGTGTAACTCATTGACATTAAATGTTTTAAAAATTACACAAATACTAAATTTTATGGTATTAAATATCATTGCTTTTATAAATTACAATAATATAGCTATTATTATACTGTAGTATATTTATATTTAATACAGTATTTATAATCACATAATGTAGAAAAATGATTATAATTATACAAATATAAATATAATTCATAATAATATACAATACATTTATTGAGTTTTCCTAAATTAATAAACTTAAATCAAAACTATAATATTAACTATTTATTTAATTAATTCCTATTTACTAAAATGTTATTTTAAAAAATAAAACAAATAAATGACAGCTCAAACTCTTGAATGTTTATTAATATTTAATAATGTTAACAATAATAATAGTTACAGTAATTTCAATGATAAATAAAAACAATTTAACTATCCTTTTCTTACATTATCTTTTAATGGTTAAAAAATTGATAAAATAGTATCAATTGTTACACAAGATTATAACTATCGGTAAAGTTTAACACAAATAGATATGATAGTCAAATATTTCTATTTTTAGTTATTTAATTTAATTTATTAAATATTTATATTATTTATATTTCATATATTAATTATAAAATAAACCTAATCATAATTTTAAAAAAAATCAATTCATTTAAATAGTTTTAGCACCGAATAAATAATTTTGTATAACATTTTAAATGTAAATTAAAATTCAGACCTAATAATAATAATTATATAATAATCACAAAATATAACGAATAAAATTAAATTAAACTGCAATAAACTTTTGTCCATCTAATGAGCGATCAATGATTTGCCGGTCATGTCTTGTTCGGGTATCGGAATACCGAGCAGATCGAGGACAGTGGGCGCAACATCGCACAGTGCAGTGTCATGTGATATACTGGCAAACTTTTTGTCGGTATTGGCCATTATAAACGGCACCCGATTGGTCGTATGGGAAGTGAGTGGACTTTTATTGGAATCGGCATACATTTTCTCGGCGTTTCCGTGATCGGCAGTTACAAGTAAAACGTAACCATTTTGTTCGCACGCCGTCTTTACCACACCAATGGCTTTGTCAGTGGCCGCACACGCAACAACGGCGGCCTCATATTTGCCGGTATGACCGACCATATCGGGTGGTGCAAAGTTGCACATAATGAACGGGTATTTCTTAGTGGCAATCGCTTCAGCCAAAGCTTCGCCGACACCCTTAGCGTTCATTTCTGGCTGCAAGTCATATGTGGCCACTTTGGGCGACTGAACCATTTTACGTTCTTCACCCGTAAACTCTTTTTCTTGACCACCATTGAAAAAGAACGTCACGTGAGCGTACTTCTCGGTCTCGGCGCAGTGATATTGTGGCCAACCCTTAGAACTGATTACTTCGGCCAATACGTTCTTCGGAACGGACGGTGGATATAGAATATCAAATGGAAATTCTTTTTTGTATTGAGTCATAGTATAGATCTTCAGGTTATTCGGGATTTGTTTCTTTGGCTCGAAATGCTGTTCGACGCCTAATGTTTCGGTGATTTGTCTCATTCGGTCGGCTCTATAATCGATGAATACAAGTGTGTCGTTCTCACGTATGAGTCCTTCTTTGTTGATGATTATAGGCTTCAAAAACTCGTCAGTAACAGTAGGGTTGGCCTCGTAGTTGCTTTTAACGACACCAATAACATCATCCAGTGTTGTCTCGACACCTTTGCCTTCTACTAAGCCTTCGTAGGCAATCTGAATGCGTTCCCAGCGCTTGTCCCGATCCATGGCATAGTATCGGCCCATAATTGTACTCAAATTACCGTAACTCAATTCTTTGGTCTTATCGATGACCTGTTGAATGAAACCGACTCCTGATGTGGGACTTGTGTCGCGACCGTCACTGAAAAAGTGGATATAAGTGTTGGGCACACCGTTAACCTTTGCGCCCTCAAGAAGTGAAAACAAATGGTTGATATGCGCGTGAACTCCACCGTCACTGACTAAACCTAATAGATGAAGACGTCCGTTGGATGTAGTCTTGGCTCGCGTACAAGCGTTCACAAAATTGCCGTTTTTGTGGATATCCTGTCGGGTGATATTCAATTGATTAGACCAACAATTCAATTATAATCATCTGAAACATAACAGTCGACAAACAAACAAACCTTAGTCTTGACGTCCAAATTAATGCGGACAATGTCCTGATAGATGACCCGACCGGCGCCGATATTCAAGTGTCCCACTTCACTGTTGCCCATTAGACCATCGGGTAGACCGACGGCCAAACCAGATGCGTCTAAAGTGATGTACTGGCCTTCAGATCGGGCCATTGCGTCCATTACGGGAGTTTCGGCGGCAGCGATAGCATTGCCAAACAGTTCATTAGACACACCCCACCCGTCGATCACAATCAGACAGACTTTAGATTCAGACATATTTTCGATGTTTTTGTGGTTAACTTCTTGTAAATGAATTGATTGTCTGATAATTATATTTATTATAAGCAATGAATTCAATCAATGTTTGTATTTATCACTCAATGCTATTGAATGTCACTTTCAATGCCAACCATTTGAGTCAATGTTCACATTGTATTACATCATAGACTATAGTATTAATCAATACAATAGTCCACAGTATTATAGGGTTGGGTTTTCGGGGGTTTTCGGGGGGTTTTAGTAATATTATTAATATTATTGCAGAGTTGCTATTAATTACAATTATCTGGTAAACTGTAATTTTGATTTAAAAGTAACCAATAAAAAAAATGTTCTAGATAAGTTTAAAATCAATAAAATTGTAATTATTGCTTATTTTTCAAATTAATTGTATGATTACTCTAATAATTATATATAATTTTGTTAATCAATTGTTATTTTTATTGTTATTGTTATTAATTGTTAATTAATTATCTATAGAGTGATATACATAAACATTATTTTTTTAACCAATTCACTATAAATGACATATATGTTACAATATATACAATATATTGTTAATCATATAATTAATTTCTTAAAAAATTACAATTTTATTCAATTTAATATTATATAAAACTTTTTTATTATTGATTACATTTAAATTTAACGTACATTTAACCAAATAATTGAAATTAATTGCATCGCCGCCGATGTTTACGACACTTTCAATAATAAAATTCTGTAAAATTTACAGTAAATTACAGTTTAGATAACAATTCAATTATTGCACTTTAAATGATAGTTCAGATCTATTGTGTTATTAAGTTAAATATATTTCTCTTGAATATATTATTTTATTTAAAAAAATTAACAAGATAATTTTATTAAATAGATATAATGTGTTTAAATGACCATAAAATGACCATAAAATAACCATAAAATGACCATAAAATAACCATAAAATGACCATAAAATAACCATAAAATGACCATGATAATATTATAATATTAATAATAATAAAACTTATAGAAATCAATAGTTACGATATTTATGAATACATAGTAAACGTGTGTTTTGAATGTATTTATTTATTTTAATAATATTTTGAATGTTTTTTAATTTATTTATTATATTATTTTTGTATCACAAGTGGTCTATATGTTTGACAATTGATTGACCGATATGTTGACCACTTTGACGACCAAATTTAGATTAAATGGTTAGTCTTTTGACTATTTTTGTGAAAAATATTATTTTTTTTTGTTCCCGCGGACAGTCTGTCTATTGACGTTGAATTCAATCCGTGGCCGTAAATGGTGGCCAATACCACCCGATCTCAGACGTAATGATTTATTATATTATATTAATATAATTAAAGTCTATATCTGATTGATTTTTTTGGTTATATTTACCAACAGATATCGAGTTACCGCCGGAACACGAGCGACAACTGATCGCTTTGGAACCGACACCCGATTGGCACGGAGTGAGGCCACGAAAGTTTACTAAACAACGACACGATATTATGGGTCCCGAAGTGGTCAACAATCAGTTGATACACAGACAGTACGGAATAATTGTATGGATTATATCAAATCAACACAACTTTATTAGCAGTTTAAAAAAAAACTTATCGATAATATTTACTTTAGGCTCTAACCGGTTATCATATAACTATAAATCACATTAATTTGATCCGCACCGTCATCAACAAACACATGGATATCAATAAAGCGTTTGCCATTTGGCGCATTGAGGCCCCGTGGAAACCCATATCTAAACGGGTTCATACCACTGACCATCAAATTAGTTGTTTATTAATTAGATCTAATCATTAACTCTATTGTCACCCAAACAGAGTCAGGGCAAGCGTATGGGCGGCGGAAAGGCAGCCATCCATCACTACGCGACGCCCATACGCGCCGGTCAAGTGATTGTCGAGATTGGCGGACGCATTGAGTTTGATGAATGCTATTACTATTTAGAGTCAATCAGTAAGCGTTTGCCGTGTGATGCCTATCCAGTTAGTCAAGAAATACTGGACCACTGGGACAAAGAGGAAGAAGAATTGAAACAAAAAAATATTAATCCCATTTCATTTGAAAGAGTAGTTAAACTGAACCTCCAGGGAAGTCATCAATGGATTAAACCGTACGATAAGCTTTGGTATGGAAAATATACGAGCGGTTAGTCGTTATATAACACATTAGACTTTAATTCAATTTTTTTAGTGATTATTACAATTAATTATGATTATTAAAATGTATAACAATGACTATTAACTATATGTTTTAAAGACTATAATGATTTTTAAATGTTATTTTGTTGGACACATTTATCTGATGCCAAACATTTGAGTTGACAATGAAATTGTCGTTTCATTTCATACATAATGACAGCGGCGGCCACTGCACTGTTCAAACTGTCCACACCCGCCGTCAACGGTATTCGTATTTTGCGTCCAATGAAATCATAGGCCAATTTGTATGACTGATCACTTAAGCCGTGTGTTTCGCCACCAATAACCAAAACTGTGGGCCTATCGATGCCTAACGTATAAAACTTTGTGTCGCAATAATTGGTGGAAGAGATGGTTAGGTTTCGATATTTGAATAGACTTTCATTTGAATTGTCAAATGATTCGTCGTATAAAAATGTCTCTTTAGTTTCAATATCGACCTCTTTTCTGATGGTATTTATCGTATGCACCGGTATATTCTCTAAGAGCTTTCGTTGATCTCCTTTAACATTGTATTCATCGCTATTTTGAGCGAAATTTTCGTTAGACTCAGCAACATAGAGATCAAATGGTTTATCAATTGGCAAATGATTGAAAATCAATGGCCACTCAACATCGTTAGCAATGGATAAGCGGAAGTGCGCGCCGGCAGCTGATCGCAACACTTTAGACTCGAAGGCATCGACACAGCCTTTAGTTAGCACTAACTTCATAGCGCCGACAGCAGTGGCACATCTGATCATTGTTCCTAAGTTTCCCGGGTCTCGGATATTGTCACCAATGATAATCAATGGCATTCTTTCGCCACTAAATTCCAAATTAGTCAATATTTGTCTTTGATCTGGTCTTTGAGTGACTGCCACCAGACCAGGACTTGAGGACATATTACTAAACAATTGAATATCTTTGTAGAAAACTTTCTTCAGTTTCATACCACCGGCAACTAAACGATCCAATTCTGGAATTCCGATCAGATTTTCTTCTTTCGAAAAATATATGGCTTTTAATTGGACGCCGGCTTCGATGGCATCGCTTATCAATCGTTTGCCTTCCAATATCATTAGATCCTCCTTTTCGCGTTGCTTTCTTGACTTAGTTTTAGTCATAATTTTTCTGTAAAATAATCATTGGATCAAATACAGTAAATACAATTCATAAGACATTTAAATGATAATTCTTACACAAATTCTGTGTTATTGTCGCCTAATTTTTCGTAAACAGGAATTCCCGAAATCTTTGGTTTCAAAACTTCATTGTATTTTGTTTTTTCTCTGTTTTGCTGTTTCTTCTGTTGTTTCGGTTTTTGATAGTTTTCTTGATCTCTGTCTTCAAAGTCGTATTCTTCTTCGTCCATAAATTTATTTTTATTTGTCTCATATCTTCGTTGGGGGTTATTCTTCAAATTATTGCCGTTTTTCCATCGATTGCGTTGATTGTAGTCTTCAAAGTTGTTTTCTTCTTCGTTCATAAATTTATTTTTATTTGTTTCATATCTTTGTTGAAAATTATCCTTAAAATTATTACCATTTTTCCATCGATTGCGTTGATTGTAGTTTTGAAAGTTGTCTTCTTCTTCGTTCATAAAATTATTTTTATTTGTTTCATATCTTTTCTGAAAATTATTCTTCAAATTATTACCATTTTTCCATCGATTGCGTTGATTATAGTCTTCAAAGTTGTTTTCTTCTTCATCACCAAATGTATTATTATTTGTCGCATATCTTTGATGAGTATTATTCTTGAAATTGTTACCAACTTTTCGTCGGTTGCGTTGATTGTAGTCGTCTTGAAAATCGTTGTCATTATCTTTCAAGAAGTCATCAGTGAATCCTTCGTCAAAGTATTTATTATACTCTCGTCTTTCGTTGCGATCAATCTGTCCTTTCGGTCGGTATTCAAGTTTAGCCGAACTAACCGGTTCTTTATAGTCAGTCTCCTGGAAGTAGTCTTTTCCTGCATCGGTCAACACCCGATATGGTTGTCGACTAAATGTCTGTCGGCGACCACTTACGGCTGTTGTACTAATCGCCGAGTTTTGTCCACAAACGACAAGTTTGGCCACCAATTTGAGGCCATTCGGCGATTGTCGTATCAATTTTAACATATCCTCTCAATGGCTAAAATGCTGTCAATATCATTGAAATGGTCTTCAAATGGTTTACCGAAGACTTTTAATTGTGATTTTGGTTTTAAAGTCAATAATAAAAAATAATTTGTTTTTTTGACTGAAATTGAAATCACATGTGATTTCTAAATGTATAGAATGTATACAAAGTTTATTTGTCCACAAATGACGTGTCAATCAATTTATTGAAATTGAAATCAATTGTCATTTATATTACATAAGTGTTGTCCAAAATAGGGTACAAATCTATTAACACATAATTAGTGAATGAATTGTCGATTATTGCGGTTTTTGTTGTGATTTTGAGTTTGAAAAACAAATGACAACAAAACAGTTGTCACTAATTGTCTGTACATTTGTTTAACCAATTAAGTCGAGTGAAGACCTAAATTGTGTGGTCATCCGTCTGGTCGTAGCGATTGTGGCGCTAAAGAGTTGTGATTGAATAGTTTGGATCGTTGGTCACACTGGACATCGACGACCGAAATGAGTGACTTCGAGAACGACTTGTTGTCCGATTTGACATCAAAAGCCAATCACTCGCTGTCGGCCGACATCACTATGAGTGGCCACTCGATGGACGACCAAATGTCAGGATCAGGTAGTAGTGGGACGGCTGGCGATGTTCAGCTCCAACAGTCAGCTGTTACCTCAATGGACAAGAATAACCTTTTGGCGATAATGCAGTTCTTGAAGAAGAATAATTTGCAACAAACTGAACAACAGTTGCGAAAAGAAACACAATTAATGAGTCTATTGAGTGATGAAGAGGTAAAACAGTTGGACAACAATAACAGCCAAAACGAGGCCAATCTGTCCAACGTTTTAATGACATACAAGACTACAGAGAATCCCGATATCTATGAAGACAATTACAATACGTTGCGGAAGTTTGTCGAGTCATCGCTGGATTCATATCGACCAGAACTGCTTCGTCTACTTTATCCGGTTTTTGTGCACATGTACTTAGAACTGGTTTACAATGAACACGAAGATCAAGCCATCAATTTTATGTCGAAATTTGGCGGACAACAGGAGTACTATTACGAAGAGGACATTAAAAAGTTGTCAGTTGTGACCAAAAAAGAGCACTTGAATGCCAACAATGACATTATCGATACGTTTAGATCAGAACAAAATCATTTCACATTACGTCTGTCACGCGATTCATATAACTATTTAAAGCGTTTTCTTCAGGAAAAACCCAAACCAAATACATCAATATTTCAGAAGATAATTCAGGAACACTTGTATCTCGATGTTTATGAAGGTCTTACACGAACCAAAAGTCAAGTCGAGGCAGTGACCGGCGGTATGATTGGCGAACCAAAATCGGACGCAAATAAAACTAAAGTGTTTTACGGACTGTTCAAAGAACCGGATTTTAAAATAGATATTCCGGACATGGATTTGGACGACTCAATTGCTGAGGCGGGCGATACAGAAAAGCCAAAGAAGAAAACCAAGAAAAAGGACGCCTCTCAGGCAAAGAAAGCGCGCGCCGATCCAAACGCTCCGCCATTGAATCGCATTCCGTTACCCGAACTAAGAGATGCCGAACAGCTCGACAAACTAAAGGCACGACGCGAGGCATTAAAAGCTCTTAAGTTGGGACCCGAGACACTGCCGTCGATTTGTTTTTATACATTACTGAACGCACAACAAAATCACGAAATGTCTGCACTCTGTGCTGATGTATCTGAAGATTCAACACTATTAGCGGCCGGATTCTCGGACTCATTAGTACGTGTTTGGCCACTATCGCCAAATAAACTGAAAGTCATGAAATCGACCACAGAATTGGAACTCATCGACAAAGAGTGTGATGACGTTCTGTACCGAATGATGGACGACAAGAATACTTTTGATATTAAGATATTGGCCGCGCATTCGGGTCCCGTCTATGCTGTTAGCTTTAGTCCGTCCAGAGATTTACTACTTTCCTGTTCCGAGGACTCAACGAGTAAGTAATGATTTAAATAGTTTTATTATTCATGAATTGAATAATAATTTTATACATTTGTATTTATAAAATAGTTCGACTCTGGAGTTTATTTACGTGGACTAACATATGTTGCTATAAAGGTCATTGTTTCCCTGTTTGGGACATAAAATTCAGTCCTCACGGCTTTTACTTTGCTTCGGCATCGCACGACAGGACCGCCCGTTTATGGGCTACCGATCAATACAATCCATTGAGACTGTTTGCGGGACATATATCTGATGTTGACGTAAGTACTAAATATTTTAAAAAAATAATACATATTTAATATTATACATGTATTGGCTGTGTATAAAGTGCATCCAATTTCACCCGAACTCCAACTATGTGGCCACCGGATCAACTGATCGTTCAGTACGCCTATGGGATGTACTAAATGGTCAATGCGTTCGCTATATGACAGGTCATAAGGCAACTGTTTACGCGTTGGCTTTCGAGAATAGTGGCAGATATTTGGTCTCTGGCGGCGCAGATAAGAGAATATTGTTTTGGGATCTGGCGTTTGGGTATTTATTGGCCGAACTCTCCGGTCATTACGATACTATTTATACATTGAGCTTTAGTCGCGGTCCGGAAGGAACTATGTTAGCCTCGGGCGGTAACGATGACTGTATTGTCTTATGGGATATACAAACATTGATTGATGAGATCGACTCAGAAGAAATTACTGTTAATCAGACACCGACTGTCAGGTTAGTCGAGATTGTCATAATTGGATTGGATTTTTGTTGTTGTTTTTGACTCTTGTTTTTCACATCAATAGGAGCAATAGCGAGCAATTCCTGTTGGGCTCCTATCGGACCAAATCAACATATATATTGACAACACATTTCACGCGACGCAACCTATTGTTAGGAATCGGAATATTTCATTGAATTTTTATTATTATTACTAATTCAAATATTCATAATTATATATACATATATTATAATACAATATATTTATAATTTCACATTTTTTGATTCATTTAATTTAAACTTTATGTAAATCTAAATTTTTTTTAGTACCGGTAAATTATTAATATTTATATTTTGTGCTCATATTAAAGAATTATGTTTTAACAAATTATATAAGTTACATATATAGAGAGTACAGTACAATATAATGGTAATAAATAATAAAAATAAATAACAAAATTGCTTAAAACAAATGTTTTTACAAACAATATAGTTTTTGACTAAAAGTGATTTATTAACGTCTATTAAAAATGTTTATACATAAACTTTAGTAAATTTATGCTTCAATTATTTTCAGCTCCGGTAATAGTTTCGTTAAAAAAATTAAAAACTAGTGAATGCTCTCTCTCTCTCTCTCTCTCTCTCTCTCTCTCTCGCTCTCTCTCTCTTTCTTTCTTTCTTTCTCTTGTTTGTGAAATTCAATAAAAGTCAAAAAACATTTCAATGTCTATTTTTTTGTCACTTGTTATTTAGGTTTTTGTTGTCTCAATTGAAATGTTTTTATATTTTGATGTTATTTAACTCAGTTTTTTTGTTGGTTTAAATAGCATAGAGTGACACATGAATTGATAGTATTGCAGAAATATATATATAATTTATAATACATATATTCGTTACATGTATTACTTTATATATAATATAAAATACATTTCTAAATGTAATATAATTTAAATAAATCGTACAATTATTTTGTTTCCGCACACATCGTATAGACACTCTAACTACTGATGCGATTGTCGTATACAGAGCACCGTTGGTTACTCTAAAACTTCACTCCAATCTTACCACTAAAAATAGGGACCGATATTCACCCCAACATCCGATGTGTCGGCCAAACAATGACTTGTTTTTACTAAAAACTGTAATTAATTTTTCTAAATATGAATATAAAATACTACATACAGTATACATATAATTAATATATTTCTATAGTTTATAATAAACTCTAATACACTTTAATACACTTCTCTCTCTCATTAATAAAATGTTTAAAGCGATTAAAAGCGAGTTTTATATTTTCAATGCAAGAGTTATTTATATTTATATTTGAAATTATTATTTTTTGTATATAATTAAGTCTTATATATAATAATTAGAAAAATATTAAATTTCGTGATAAAAGTCTCTCTCTCTCTCTCTCTCTCTCTCTCTCTCTCTCTCTCTCTCTCTCTCTCTCTCTCTCTCTCTCTCTCTCTCTCTGTTTGATATACTTGACTGTCTGCTAGTGTGTCATAAATTATAATTCAAAGGCGAGAATCAACTGCACAATCAAACTTGATATCAGATAAGACCGCCTTTTAATAAACGGAGAGTTCATTAAACCGAATCTCCCTATTATTAAAGTGAGGAAAATATTTATTTTGATTAAATAGACAATAAAATTATTAATAGTTAAGTAACCTTTTAAAATGTTTGCTTTTCATCTTTAAAGGTTATATCAATATATATAATATAATATACACACAATTGAATACCGAAAGATTATTGATTATCTTCTCAAGTATTTTATTTATCAATTGATTTCGTATTGAAAAGTAAAATGAAAATTGAAATCGCATTATACCTGTTATTGTTATTATTATTATTAATACATTTCAATTGAGACATGTTTTCTCTAGGGATTAATATTACATATCAAACTTGAATAAAAAAATAAATTTTTAAAAATAAAAGTAAACTTTATATTGGATTAAGTTTACAATTTAATTAAGTTGACAATTAAATAAATTACTTATTATCTAATAGATTAACTTTTATAACAACAACAAAAAAACACAAAATAAATTCAAGAATCTGAATTTAATTAAAAATTTCTATTTTATTTAAATAAATTACTAATAAAATTTCTGGTCTGTTAGTTGTGTGTGTCGATTGATGATAACACTGATGACAATATTTCACTGTCAATAATATTACAGTAGTTTTCAATTTACATCATGTTATACAATGTAATATTTATCAGAAATATTTTTTTATAAAAAACTTTATAAGTTTGATAATAATAACAATATTTTAGAATTAGATTTTTTAGCATGATAATTATCTTGGTGAAAGTACTCTACCAAATGTTTTTTTATAGAAGATTGTAAAATATCATATAATCTTTTAGTAAATTTTTTCTTACTCTCTGTGAATTCAATGTCAATTTTTATGTCAAATTAAAATCTCAAAACAACAAAAAAAAATTGGCAAATGTTTTTGCAATTAAAAAAATACTTTTTTTCACACAAAAAAAATTATATATATATATAAAGAATTAAAACACATTGCACTACAAAAACTTTTTTAAAGATTTTATGCAATTTGATTGTCGGGGAGGGGTTATGGGGTTATCATTATTGTATTTATCTAATACAGTATATTATTTTTTGTTTTGCATTATTATTATTCTTAGTTAAAGTACTAAAACTAAATTACTATAATGTTTCTTATAAATTATCATTGATATAAATTACAGTTTTTTTGTGTGTATAGAATAAATTATAGATTAAAATCAAATTTAATAATAATAACAACAATTTATTTGTAGGGGTAAATGAGGTTTAATTTATATGAGAAATCATAACTCTATCTATTACTAAACTAGCACCGGGAGAGATACATAAGTAAAATAAGCCATAAATATAATGTTTAATATTTATATAATGGTGAGGTACGCCAAAGTGATCAGTGATTAGTTGTTTTTTATTATATATAATTACAAACTTATATTACAATTTTATTAAATATAAATTATTTATATATATATATATTACACTTAAAGTACTCTACTTTTATAACTTACTTAAGCCATCAGTAAATCCTAATTAACGTGTGTATCGTATTGCAGCACTTTATGCTCACACAATGATACTCACCTGAATAGCCAACTGTGCAAACTGTGTGGTTGTCAAACACTGTGAAACACACTTATTTATATAACGTGACAGTGATTCCCACAACTGGTGTCCCGAAAATCAGAGAGGGCTCAGGTGTGCCATTGAGCAAGTGATGCGCGACCTATGCCTGTGCTCTCTCTCTCTCTCTCTCTCTCTCTCTCTCTCTCTCTCTCTCTCTCTCTCTCTCTCTCTCTTAGAGTCTCTCACTCTAGTGTTTCACCTGCCAGTGTTGTTGTATATTACCTGGCAATCACTTGGGCCAGTGTTAAGGCCAGTCGTCTCTATGCACGTGAACTCCAGCGCCAGCCTCTCTCTTGTGATTCTATCTATCGGTTAGCTTATTGTGTATATGTATTGTACAGTACAGTAATGTATGTCTAAGTAAGCGTATGTATGTCTTGAACAGACATCTCATCCCAAGTTCTGCTTTTTATTATCGGATCTCAATTGTCAATCCATAACAACAAAACCGATTGAAATTGAAAATATCTATAAAATATTTATCATAAAATCTGTGAAAAATCACTTTATAAGCGGATTTCAAATGTGAAATGATTTATTTGATCGCAAATTTAATTGTTTTAATTGTTTTCAACCATCACTACTGCAATGGTGTTAATGGTTCGCCTTCTCGTAGAAGATTTTATGGTATGAAAATGGATATGTTATATGTTATATCATAATATTGAGAGATTAGTTGAATAGAAGAGAGAGAGAGAGAGAGAGAGAGAGAGAGAGAGAGAGAGAGAGAGAGAGAGAGACTGTTACTTATTTATAAAGTTTTAGGCTAAGTTAATGCAGTTAAGTGAGGGGCACAGGTAGTAGTAATGATTATTTGATTACAGACGTTGAGAACCTGAGTGCCGAAGCCGACTACAGGGCTGTTAAGCTTAAGTGGAATTATTATAGTGAACAACAAGGACTGACCGGATTTAAAGTCAAGTAAGTCTTCACAATCTTAGTTGTTATTACTTTATATAAACTTTTTAAAACTTATATATAGTTTTAAAAAGTTTGTGTAAAATTTGATATTTAGGTGACATTACGGTATTGTCATTAATATTATTTGTTTTTTTTGTTAATACTTTAATCAGATTTTGTGAGATCTCTGCGTGGAATTCAAAGATCAGATGTCGTGAACGACTATTACGGCTGTTCCCGACTCAGACCAGCCGTAAGCTAAGTGCACGCTATGATAGTCAGCACAATGATAGCCATAATAACAATAACAACAACAATAACAACGATCCTATAATTGATAAATTAAATCGTGTTAATCGTAACACATATGAAGCTAACATCTATGACTTGCGGATGTTGACTAACTATACGTTTAGTGTAAAAGCAGAGTTTGATCCGTCACAGTCACCATACCATCCCGCTTATGGTAAAAATCCCGGCGATGCCTACAGACCTCACAGCAGTGGCAGCGGCGGCGGTGGTGTCACAGCTGAAGACTTTAATCGTTATGTCACTGTTGAGACCAAAAGCTGTGAGTATAGATAGATAGGTCTTTGTGTTTCCAAACGTTTTGCACAAATGATTGCAGTATTTCTATATCTTTTWAAAAAATTAAAAATAATGTCAAAAACCAAACTATTCGTCCAAATTGTCAACTCGTTTATGTCTATGCAGTCAATCAACAGACCATAAATAGGGTAATTAGGATTCGGTTTAATGAACTCTCCGTTTATTAAAAGGCGGTCTTATCTGATATCAAGTTTGATTGTGCAGTTGATTCTCGCCTTTCAATTATAATTTATGACACACTAGCAGACAGTCAAGTATATCAAACAGAGAGAGAGAGAGAGAGAGAGAGAGAGAGAGAGAGAGAGAGAGAGAGAGAGCGACTTTTATCACGAAATTTAATATTTTTTTAATTATTACTTAAGACTTAATTATATACAAAAAATTCAAATATAAATATTAAATAACTCTTGCATTTAAATAAAACTCGCTTTTAAACGCTTTAAATACTTATTAATGATAGAGAGAGAACAAGAAGTGTATTACAATTTATTATATATAAAATACATGTATTTTTAATTTTATATTCATATAAAAACTTTTAATTAGTTTCAGCAAAAACGAGTCGTTGTTTGGCCAATACATCCGATGTTGTGGTGAATACCGGTCCCTATTTTAATGGCAAAATTACTGTGGAGTTTGAAAGTGATCACCGGTGCTCTGTATATGGCAATCGCACCAGTAGTCAGAGTGTCTATACACTAACTATACTTCACGATGTGTGCGGAAGCAAAATCATTGTATGATTTATTTAAATTACATTTAAATTTTATTAGTCTAACTCACTCCTAGTATTATGTTTGATAAAAATTTACTAAAACTATCATTTCATGTGTCAAAAAAAAGTTTATGCTATTTAAGCCAAACAAACAAAAAAATGAGTTAAATAACATCAAAATATAATAGTAAAACATTTCAATTGAGATAACAAAAACCTATATTACTAATGACAAAAAAGACATTGAAATATTTTTTCTACTTTTTTATAAAATTTTTACAAAACAAAATTGAAAGAGAGAGAGAGAGAGAGAGAGAGAGAGAGAGAGAGAGAGAGAGAGAGAATTGTAAGTGTATTGAAGGGTTAATTGACTATATATTTTCAACTGGTTTTTTAATATTTGTTGTTCAACTACTATCAGAACAATTCACGCATAGAGACTATGGTAATGGTTCACGAGAACCGGGAGATATTGACCCATAATTCACGACGATTTTTGGTAGTCTGTAATTTTGTGCCCGAAACCTATACGCTGACCGCATCAGTGGCCGTACCGCCGCATCTATTGAAACGCAAACACAAGACCAGTGATCACAACAGGAGTGAGTTCAATGTGATACCAGTGGTGAAGCCAGTGATGGCCGAAACAAGTGCCGGCGTTAATGAGTCCAGCGATAGTCACAACGTTATTGATAAGAGTAACGATATCTTTACGTTTGATAACCACTATGTGTCACATAATGTCCGCGACTCACGGATGCTGGCCCTACATCAGGATCACATGATTGTAGACAGTGGCACCAAAGTGGCCGCTACTACTAATGATAATATTAATAAGAGTGTATCGGGTAATACCTATTTACGATAGTTAGTGCAAACTAAATACTAGTGCTAACTATTTTACAAATCAATTTATAGGCTACCACTGGAACCATGTCTTCTCTACCATACTATTCGTTATCAGTGGACTAATATTCTGTGTAATAGCCATACTGTGGTTTGCGACTACTCCTCGATTAAGTGATAAAAACCGCGAAATCAAGTCATACTTGTCATCGGTGACGACGATGACAGCGACCAGTGATCCAAAGCTTATGGCAAAGAACAAAGCAATTCTTACTGTCAATGGATCTCCTGTTGCTTTGGTGTCCATCGATTCGTTGGGCGAATCGTTTGCTTAATTTATTATTATTATTATTATTTTTAAATATGTAGTTATTATTAATTAATTTTTAGATCGACTTAAATATCACATAATGATACCACATTAGGTTTGGCCATTGCACCCGTGCCTTAGACACAAGGGTTTTGTGGGAAAGGGTAGAGGAGTGTAGGGTAAGGGCAAAGCACCTAAAAGGGGTTATCAAATGGACAATAATCAACATGTTTGGTCCCGTTTTATTTTTTCATTTTTATTATTAAAAATTTTGCCATTTTATTATTTTTTATAAAAAAAAACTTTCAACAAACAGGCCTATATCCTATCCCAACTCATCCCTGTCCCGGCACATACACACACACATTGGCCAACCCTAATGGAGATCATTTTGAAGCGCATTATATTTTCTAATGAATTTAGTTTTGCATTTTAATTACTGTTTTATCACTTATTTATGGAAATGACAAGTAGTTGATTGTATTATTTTTAGTTTAAATAATAATAATAATAATACTAATAATGATAATAATAATATGAAAACGTTTTTCTATGTGAACACATAAATATTAATTTATTTTTAATCATTAAAATATTATAATTATGTCACACACATACACATACATACATTTTTTTAATCCGTGTAAATTTATTTAATAATAAAAAAATTATTTGAACTAAACATATTAATAATAATAATAATAATGAAATTTTCATTTGTCCAGTTCATTGACCGCTTAAATAACTTTCAATAAATTAGTATTAAAAGTTGAAAATTATTTTGTAATTATGTCTAATTTGCCGACCAATTAATGTTTTATATAAAAGTTTTATACAAAAAAGTTAATCACCTCTTTCTATACATTACTACAGTACTGTATATACAGTTTATAATATAAAAATTTTATATAATTTAACTTATATACCGGTATAGTATAGTATTAATATATTAATAAGATTCTTTACCGGTATATACTAATGATTAAAAAATTTTTGAAAAAATTTTCAGAAAAAAAACAATTTTAGCTAATATTTTAATCAATTTATGTGCGTGATTTAAATGCCAACACATAGTTACACACACACACACACACACACACACACACACACACACACACACACACACACACACACACACACACACACACACACACACATTAATTTTATTTGGCAATCTTAATAGCTATAAATGTTTGTACTTTAGCAACATTAGCTAGTTAAATACATTGCAATTTGCAACACACAAATTAACATGAAAATAATAAATTAAATAAAAAACAAATGTGTACTGGTTTATCAACATTTCCTAATTAATCAAGGTAGTACTGTATATACAGGTAGTTACAGTGCTATACAAACTAATACATATCAATAATAATACCGGTATTCAAATTATATGCAAAAGTTTTTTTTATTAACTGTCACATATGGCAACTCTATGTGTGATTAGAAGCCATGGCGACCACTATTATAGCCATTATGACTGTACAGTAGTGTTAACACATGGTCTCAATGTTTATGTTATTTTTAATACAATTTTTTGATTTTGTCACTGAATTGTGTCTCAAAAAAAAGATATTTAAATAATATTATAATCAAATTAAATGATAATCTGATTTGTTTTGTTTGATCACATTATGGATGATAATAGTAGTCGCGATGTCATTGATAATGATAAACAAACAGATGTTCCGATGAATGGACAAGAATTGACCGAAGATGACATGAATAATACAAATTCAAATGACAATCAAATGAGTGATAACTTAATTGATGGTATGATTGACGGCGACAATAGTGAGACAATTGATGTGAAGATTACAAATGATGACAAAGTGGTAAAAGTTTGCGACATTAAGAACAACAAACGGGGAATCGTTTACATGAGTTATATACCGCCGGGTCTTAATGTTAACCGATTGCGGCAAATGATGTCCGAATACGGAGAAGTCGAAAGGATTTTCTTGCAAAAGGAGAAACCGATGAACGAATCGGACAAGAAATCGCTGAAGAAGAAGAATAAGAAAAAAGACAATCCATATAACTGTCGGTTTGTCGAGGGATGGATTGAGTTCAAGAAGAAAAGTGTGGCCAAACTGGTGGCACAGATATTAAATGGTAAACAGATTGGTGGCAAACGGAGGACACTATTTTATGATCAGATCTGGAGTTTGAAATACTTGCATAAGTATGACTTTCTTCTTCATTAGTTTTACTTTTATGTTATATTTGATTATTATTATGTGTTTTATTCTTCACAATAGATTCAAATGGAGTCATTTGGCGGAACAACTTTCCTATGAGAAGGCATTAAGACAACAAAAGTTAAGATTTGAGATCACGAGGGCTAAGAAAGAGACCGACTTTTATGAGAGAATGACACAAAAGTTTAAATACAATTCAAGACATAAGAAGTCTAACGACGACAAYAATGCTGACGACAAGACTAGCGATAATCGAAAATATAAGCAAYGGATAACTGATGAAGTGATCCGAAAGAATAAGACTATTGATAGTGAAGTCGATTTCGAGTTATTGAATAAAATATTCGGTTAAAGTATTTCATATTTAACATAATATTCTGTATATAAAGTCCTTTATTTGATGTATTTTAGACGTTAAAAACGTTTATTTTTCTGATTACAAAATGTATTACTGGAAAATAAACTTTTTTTGAAATTGATTATAACTTATTTAGAATTTATCCAATAATTTACGATAATTACGGTAATATTTTTATTGTTTCAAATTATATCAATTGATTGTAAATAATAATAATAATATATATATATATATATATATAATATACTGTATATTTATTTAATGTATATTAACTAATAAAATAAATCCATTGCAATTTTCAAGTGCTGTCGTCAATCATGGCCTCGACATCATTATTAGAGTCTTCGGCTTCCATTGAGGATGAGTTAGAGCGAAGCCGTGATGTATTGTCACCTCCCGTCTCAGTTGGATCCAAGTGAACGACCACTTCTTCATCATCATTTGCATACTGTTTATCGATAACCTCTTTGATTTGATTGTTGGCACCCTTGGGGTCCAAATCCATAGCCCACGAAAAGTTCATTAGTGCTAAATGGGTGTCACCCATCTTCTTATGTACCTTTTTATATTCAATGACAATATAATTACCACAAAAATCATTAGAAATAAAAACTTAAAGAATAAACAGGATATACGCATACCTTTCCTATAAGAAAGTAGACTAACGACTCTTTTGGCACAATTTGTTTGAGTTGTTCCAACTCCTCGAGGGCTCTGTCGTGTCTGTCGAGTGCAAACAAAATGGACGCCTTATGGAACTTACACAATGCGTTTTTCGGGTCCATATCGATGGCCCGTTCCAGTGTCTCCAATGCTTTATGGCTCTGTTTGAGCGCGTGCTGTACGACACCGATGTGACACATGAGTACCGGACTAAACGGCGATATGTCTAACGCTTTACGATAATGTAATTCTGCTAATTGAAACTTTTCCTGTTTATAGTATATCATTCCAATGCCGTACCACGCGTTGTAATGGCGCGGATCAATACGCGTGGCGTTACGGAAACAGCTCATCGCGTGGTCCATCTCATCGGTAACGGCTAACTCGTGACCCAACAATGTGTAGGCGTAGGCAAAATCGGGATCCACTTGTATGGCCCGTTGAAGAAATTTTATTGATGTTTCGTGTTCTTTCTGTAGCGAAAAACAATTGCCGGCCACACACCAGGTCTGTGCCGAGTCTTTATCGTAATCGTTTAGCTCTTGAGCTAACGTCGAGAGCTCCACTTCTCGTTGCAAATGCCATAAAGCGGTACTTAGATACTCCATACCATGAAGTCGATGTGGTTCATGACGATGAGCTTCCATAAAATATTTGACTGACTCTTCATAGCGGGACATCTCAAAGTAGGCCCGACCTAATGATGTTAGCACCCATCCAGTGTTCACATGATTTACTGGCAGATTCTCCAATGCTTTTATGGCATCTTTACATCTGAATTGTCCCAAATGCTGTAATGCAGTGCCAAACTGTACCAACAGATCCAATAGACCTTTCGCTGACTGTTTTTGCATTTTGATTCCAGTCTGCATTAAGTCATAATTTGAAACGTTTTTATTAATCTCGGATTTGTTTATATCATTCAATTCAGTATCGGTTTCTTTCTGAAGAATAGAACTATTGTTTGTCAGCGAAGATATATTAGTTGAGCTATTCGTCCGTTTGGTACGTTTGGTTGGTGTACGCGGTCTTGCAATCAGTTTAGTCGGCGCTTTACTGCCGGTATTCTCTTTAATAGAACTCTGCGATGAACTAAATAATCGGGAACTTCGGCGCAATGACTGTGACTGTATGGGAGAACCCGATAGTGAACTAACGGTAGACACAGAATCTGAGTGTTGGTTATTAGAGAGTTGTAACTTAAAAGCGTTGCTTCTCGTAGACTGAGTACCAATAGCTGATGGCTGTGTCTGTTGTATTTGCTGTTGACTTCGCCGGGTGTGTGGCTTTTTGGCCTGTAATTCATCGGAATGTGTATTCTGGCAGTTGTCCGATTCGACAGCCGATTTGATTGTTATGGTCGGCATATCGGTCAACGGAAATACGCCAAAACAGTGTCGGGCGACGGGTGTTGTCTGTGAGTTAAGTAGATTCTTGTTGATTACATTCTCATTTCTCATTGTTGTCGTCGACTTTCTGGTAATCTTATTATTGAGCTTTTGTGGGGCCAAACATGCGGCGGTCACCCACTGGTTGTTCTCTGGTGTGATCACATCGATAGTACCGTTTTCGTTGGTGTTCTTAATTACAGCAAACGGTGAGGTTATCTCACATTTAGTGATAATGCTCTGCAAATGACTAGTTATACAATTTGTGTCATTTAATCGATTAATGTTTGCATTTGAATTGCCGTTTGCATTCAAGAGATTAACTAAAGGATTAGATCCAAGACATTGGCTAAACTCGACATTTGTTATATTAAATATCTCTTTCGGGTCCACTTTGTTTCCTAATTGAATCAGATTCTCATAAGACGACCACAGGAATGGATTCGCTTTCAGACTTTCCCTATAGTAATGCATTGCTTGTGAATGTCTCTCAATTTTGCCGCAGATCTGTGCCAACAGTTGAGCCGCAAATGAAGCGCTTTCGCCAAACTCTTTGCGCAGCTCTTCCACCGTAAACGTGTTGACCAACGATCGGCTGCTATTGCGATCATTACGGAGATTACCGACAAGTGCTTCCTCAGCCTCATTGTATTTCTTGAGATCGAAACAACATCGGGCCAACAATAGCTGACACTGCGATGTCCGCGAATCACTACTGGCCAGTATAGAGAAGGCAGCGTTGGGTTTACCCGATTGATAGTAACAGGTGGCCAACAAATGAAGCGATTCATCCGATGATACTATAGATGATAGCAATACGTCAAACACTCGTCTCTAGTCTTTAAAAAGATAAACTAATAGATTAATCATACCTTCGGAGTGAAGTCTTTCGGCCAAAAATATCGCGTCGTTATAGGCGTAGTGTTTCAATGCAAACTGTATGGTGGCCTACAAGTGGTCAAACAATTGGTAATAATAATTGCTAAATACAATTGTCTGACACGACTCACCTGAACCGGTTCGGTGACAATCATCTTAATTTGGGTTTTCGTCGGCCGACAACTACGGTCTGACAATTTTAACGATGCTATTTGGGGTCACAGACCAGTGGTCAGACAACCGGATAGTATGAACTGCTGTCGTGATAGACGACGGACCACAATAACGACGCCAACAACTGTGATAACACACAACACTTGTGGCGACAAATCGGCTGAAAGACCACTAAAATAGTTGTCTGAATAATATATAYAATGTTTGATGACACAATTTAATAATAAATCATTAAAATTATTAATTAGTTTATCATAAGTTAAAAAACACAAAACAAAAATACAAATCAATTTGTGATTAAAATAAATACACAAAACGTTTATTACGTTATTATATAATCAATAGGTTTTATAATAATAATAATAATAATAATAATAATAATTGTGAGCCATATTTGCCATTCAATTCAATGGCTACTGAATATAATAAGACAACAATAGGGAGTTATTATGTATTGAAAAGTCAAATATAAAGTACATTAAAAAAAATTGTATTACATTTCATAATACAATCCCTAAATACTCGTATATACTGTATATTAATAAAGTGATTGCCATATAAACTGTTATCCAAACAATTGTGTACCCAATCTAATATAGACAACCATTTTATATAATAAATTTATGTTACAATAACTGTCCCCACAGTAATCATAATTTGATTGTCACAGTGTTTGCGGATAACTCTAACGGTTTACGGAGGACAGGTATCTAACATACAGTACTATAGGTGTCGCACATGTATGTAGTGTTTGTCGTCATTAAATAGTTTGCATAACTTTTTATTGTTGTTTTGTTAACAAACAAAAAAATTGTTTAATTATAATCTCAATCCTCTTATAAAAATTAGTTTATTTTTATTTAAATTTTATTTTTTATTATTATTTTATATATGATTTTACGTTTAACGCATATATTGTATATCCTATACCTGTTTAAGTACTGTATATAAAAAACATTACAAAAATGCATAAAAATAAATAAAATTACGGGAATCATAAAATTTAATACTAATTTATACTAATGTAGAATAAGTTAATACTTATAATGGGATGAAATATTTTTTAAAAAGATTGCAATATAATAAAAAAAAGTATCAATTATTTATACATTTATGGTAATAATAATAATTAATTTTTTATGGTAAATGAACACAACTTATTTGTTGAAGACATTTGATACACAATTCAATTACCGGTAATCAATCGTTGAGTTCGCTTAAGATGTCGTAGACATTGTCCATCAATATTATTGCCAAATAGGGATCACTTTTCAATTTAATGGTAAATGTATTCAAATCAGTCACCAGTTTCTCCCTATTGTCTAGTGATGAGTACTCATCGGCCAAAAGTTTAGTTAACTTTTCCTTCAAAATACTTTTTAATGAATCCAAGAGCTTCTCAGTCATACCGCTCGACATTTGTAACTCTAAACGCCACTCGTCTTCCTGTAATTCCCATCGATTATCTGCTTCTTCACTGATATATATAGTGATTAAAAAAGAGGTAAAACTACACTGCGTTTCAATTGCTTACGACTGACAGGTTTTTCTTCAATAACTTTTGATAGAATTGAGATATTTTAGTGAAATTTTAAGTAATAAAAATTCAAACATTCATACATCAGATGCTGTAATCAGATGTTGTACCGCAATAATAGTCTTAACCTTACAGTCGTAAGCAATTGAAACGCAGTGTATAAATCACTTACAGATCAATCAAATCACTTACTCATACATTAGTTGAAACTCATTGTTTCGCTGATGATTGACATCGATATACATATCGAGTATTTTGACGGCCCGTCCCATAACTTCTGACAATTGGGACAATTCTTCATTAGTCAGTATATCGCGACAATCATCGAGACATTGGATACTTTGGACACAAGACTTATGAAAGCGTAAGTGTTTGTCAATTTCAAAGCACTTCCTCCTGAGTTTCACTCGACTAAAGCGAATGCACGCCAAATGAGTGTCTTTGAGATCGAAAAACTCTTTTTTGTCGTCAAAACGAATCTTAATTGTCTTCAATTCATTCAGATGTGAAACTAATACCTTCTGGTATTTCTCTAATTTCAAGTCATTTACATTTAACTCAATAAATAATTTCATAAACTCTTTGAGTTTTTGCTGTGCTTTCAAATATTTCTTTTCCAAGTCTTTATTGGATCTAATCTTTAGTTTCATACGCTCTCTCAGCTCTTCGGTAGTCTCGACGTCCACGTCGTACGGCGGTTGAGTTGAGCCGTTAACCAATGGTCTTGGATGTCGTATAAGACTCTGATTATTCTTCCATTTGCTGAAGACCTGTGTCTCAGCCGATCGGCGGTTAAAATACTGACTGTTCTGAAGTGACTGTCGGTGTCGCTGTTCATCGCGTTCCCGACGGGCACTGATCCGCTTTTCCATCAAATCTGGTCGTCCTTTCACATAATACCAAGGATGTTGTGTCGGCGCAATCGATTGTATACTTCTTCTCATTGGATCCAATACTTTGGTTGACTTGACATCGGTTTGGTGGCCGCTCTTCACTTCTTTAATCGATTCACTGTTTCGGACACTTTTCTTCATTGTTTATAAACCACCGAATGTTATGATATGTCTTAACGAATATCAATGAATGGTATGACTAATTGGTTACGACATTACCATCGCTTAAGAGTTTTTGTTTCGCACATTCGGTCATTAGTTTTGTTATGTTTTGTATTTTTGTTTTGATTTTTGTTTTGATTTTTTGTTTGTTTGAAAACAACAACAACTTTGTCTCCAATAGTCATATAAATAACGGTTTACTATAGTATTCACTGACACTACAAACTATACTTATGGCTGCCATTCAATAGTCACACATGTATTTGACATTCAGATTGATTTTTATCTATAAATTATAGGCAATTAATTAAATTAATTATAATTTTGAAATATAATATTCATATATTTGGTAAAATTATATTTTAAAATATACAGATATTTTTTGCTATTATAAATACTGTATAATATACAGTGTATATAAATTTACGAAAAAAAAATATTTTGAATTTATAATTTTACTGATTTATTAAAATTCAAGTTTATAAGGTTTATACTGTAAATAGATTTTAATTGCACATCAAATGTATTTAACAAAACTAAAAAATTTGTTAATTTTATACACAATTATCATAAACTATTAAAATAGTTTTTCTTAATGTTATTATTATTTTTTGATGTTGTTTTAATGTTTGAACATGTTAGTTTTAAAATATTATTTAAATTATAAATTATTTTAGAATATTTAAATGTATTTTATTTTAATATGTTAATTGTTTTTATTACAATATTAAAACAATTAATTAATAATTAATAAATGAAAATCAATTTAGATACTAATAACTAAAAAAATTAATTATCTAAACCAATGGCAAGTTATGATTGTTTAAATCTCTGGCGTGTTTCACACTATTATCACTTTTAGTTAGTCCAACACCAGATATTTTACTTTGTTTTGGGTTTTTATCATTTTGTTTGGCAATTAATTTAAGTTTATTTTTATTATTGACAATTTCAATGGCTTTCTTCAATTGCTCTTTTTCTGAAATAAGATTAATTTTTTAATAAAAAATACAATATATTTGTTAAAAACAATTACATAAACTAAACTAAAATACACAAACTTTGAAAATATTCGGTTCCCATCGTTATAATGACAACTATAATGACCATCGATGCCAACATAAAGAAGAATAGGAATCCCCAAGAAATTGCAAAACTTTTCATGACAGTCATCGCTGTCGACAAGTCATTGATATTGTCGGCAAAGATCCGGAACCGATCTTCAGTGACGTTAAAAATAGCAAACGAAATGTCATTATTAGCAACGGATAGAAAATCTCTTCTGTCATTTGTTTTATTTTTGTCAATTGATCTCAATTTGTAACTATTATTTGATAGCAAATATGCTTTGTCTGTTATCTTATTCATTGATTTATTATCAATAATTGATGTAAATGTTAACAAAAAGATGTAAAATAATTTAAATACAAGATTGTCAGCCAATTTTGAAATCATATTTTTTAAAAATTTAATAATAAATTGATTATTTCGTGCTTATTATTAAACAATAAATTTTTTATTTATAAAAAACTATAAATTAGTATAAAATATACTGTATATTGATTTACCGCTTTGTTAATGAGTTTTATTTTTGGCCACAAATTTTTAAATGATTGATTGATTGCAATCAACTATGAAATTGAATTTTATTGACTTATATTTAGTGCGTAAAGAAATATTTATTTAAAAATTGAAAATATTCAATAAAATATTTACTTAAATATTTATTTTTTTTAAATATTTTTATATTAGTAAAAATATATATTTAATCAATTTGTAATTAATTCTAATCTCTATTTAAATTACAATATAATTATAATATATTACAACAATCCATGTATTGTTTATCGTTTTGTTTGTCAAAATTCTTTGGATTGATTGAACTTCAGTCCCAATCGTTTAGTGTAATATAAAAATACTATATTTATTAAACTTTCATACTTTACGTAAATTGTATAATTAAATACTAAATAAATTAAAATTAATAAAAATGTTAAACATATAGACTTTATTGGAATTACAATAAATTGTATATAAATAATATTGTGTGCATTGATAACATAAAAAAATTATTTTAAGATATTAAAAATCAAAAACATAATAATTTTTAACTAATACTTTAATTATCTAAATCATTAATATAATGAAAATAATATTGAGTTAAACTTCATATTACGGTAATCAAATAAATTGCTTGTTTCACAATACATAATACAATTTAAATTTCAGTAAAATATATAATGATTACAATTAAAAATACATTAATCCAATAAAATTTCATTTTTAATTTGTTTAACAATTACAAAATCATTGTCATTATTATCAGCAATAATTGTCTCAAATGGTTGGTCAGCAACCAATCCGTTAGATTCTATTGGCTGTTCAGTGATCTCCTGCACAGTTTCATTGGGTAACCATTGATTTGAATAGAGATAATCATTGTTTTGTTGGTCCTCCGAGTCGTTAAAGTGAACATATTTGTGATGAATGTCTAATTCTTCTTCAGTTGTCATATTAATATCACAAATATCACATCTGAAACTATTGTCTTCATCGTATACCATGTGTTCAGGTTCTGCTTCAGTATTCCTATTGTGTTCCAAATTCAGATGTTCTCTTAGTTCAAGAGCCGACTCAAACCATTTGCCGCAACCGTTGCGCTGACAATGATATCCATTGTTTTGTTGTCCGTTAAATATTTCTGGATTAATGTCTTCGACGTTGACATTACTTCTGGTACTATTTCTGTGAACATTTTGCATATGTCTTCTCAAACTACTAGCGATCAACAATGTTCCGCAGTCTTCACAACGACGCAACTCTTTAGATATGTTAATCAGATGGTTATCAGTCACCTGTTGGTGACACTTATTGAAGTGCAATGTCATCATTGCTCTTAAGTTGAATCGCTTATTGCAGAGAACATAAGCGCACGATATAGTCATACCATTAGATGAGGAAACTGTGGATTTACTGGACATCATATTTATCAGTTCTGTTCCCAACATTAGATTCTCTGATGGGATCTTCGGTTTCAATAGTGAGACGGCTTTGAGTTTCTTAACAGTGGTGGTATGTGATCCGTGAGCAGAAGACATATGTATCTCAAGAAGTGTCGGTGTTCTAAACATTTCATCGCAAACGGAGCAGTCGTATGAAAAGTGTTTTCTCTGTCGTTGATGAGCTCTCAATATTGAAAGTTTGGCATAATTTTTACGGCAGTGAACACATTTGAATCGCGACTTTTCATGTCCTTTATGCCAATCGTTATGTTTAATCCAGTCTTCTGCGTTATCAGAACTAAAATCACAGTCTTTAGCATCGCATTTGAACAATGATTTCATTAAACGATGAGTAATTGAATTGAGTCCCAAACTAACAGAATTATTACCACCACTACTACTACAAGACTTTGAACGAGTTTTCCGTTCATAGTCTTCATATTTTGAAGATTTGACATCAACTTCAATGCCGTTCATTGAATTATTATGTATCACATCTTCATCATCGGTCGTAGACTTTTTAATAACAATTTTCTCATCACTTTTTTGATTATGTCTAAAAAATTACAAAATATTTAATAAATATAAAAAAGTAAAAGTAAAGTAAAGTAATTACTTATTGAGAATATGAGTGACGACATGCTTCTGGAATGCGTGCATATCATCGGTACTAAAGCTACAGTCATTGTGTGGACAATCGTGAAGTTCATTATCCGGTAAAATCTCCGGTCTTTCTGTTTCTTCTTTGACTTCAACTTTAGGACTTTCCACAAACTCTTCAGTCGACTTAAGAGACTCCGATTCATGTGATCGCATATGTCGTCTGAGATCTGATGGCCACCGGAATTCCTTCAAACAAACCGTACACGTCTTCTTCCATTTATCACTACTATTGACTCGTTTAACTGGTTTACTAAATGGTATTATCTCTCCGTGAGAACTGCGTTTGTGATCAGTTAGATGATGTGAACGTCCAAAACTGGCATCACATTTGTCGCACTTGAATGCGAGGTCGCGATTATGTATTATCATGTGTTTTCTTAGGTCATTGAGACCACCGCGAGTGATAAACTTGCATTTAGTGCAATGCAAACGAAACGTTTGTTTGACGAGTGGTTTCTTTGCCAGAGATGTGTCGCAGTTTTTACTTTGATTACTAATGATATTAGTGACGGCACTTACGCTAACTTTATTATCCGTTGTCTGATTTGTCACTTGTCTGCTACCCTGTCCTTTATGGACATTCATGTGTCGCTTCATACTTGTGCGATAACGGGTCCTAAAATTACAGCCAGTGTACTGACACCGACCAACTGTAATAAATTTATTGGCATTAGAATCAGTTCTTAAGCCTTTCGACGATCGATGCACTCGTTTGAGATGCTTTTGGAGATTGTTCTGCAAGTGTCCTATTGTCGTAACATAAGGACAACTGGGATGCGGACAACTTAAGCTTTTAGTTGTCCTCTGCGATGAATTATCCGATGAAGTTGTGGCAGTTGTTGTTATTTTACTTTTGGTATGCATTTCCTTTACATGATTTCTAAGCGATTCCGATCCATAGGATCTAAAGCCGCACTTCGGATACGGACAGCTGTGTCTGAGCTTTTGTTTTTCAATACTTCGACCCGAAGCCAATTGTGTTACTTCTTCTGGTGTCAAAAGTTTAGTAAATAAATCCTTTTCTTTAATTATTAAATTAAAAAAGAAATCATTTTATTTACACATAAAAAACTATTGTTTCTGAATTTGATTCAAATTTACCCGTTTTAATGGAGACAGAAGTGAAAACAGGAGCTAATGGTAGTGACATTCGGTTCGAGCGGCGAACAGTTGGTGTGTCCACGTATTTAACGCATGGAAATCGTGGATAACTCTTTATAGAGTTGACTTCTTCAAGTTGTTTGATCCAACAATTAAGTTCCCTATGAATGTCGTGATATTTGACTTTTAAATCAGAAAACGATGGTTCCTTGAGATCAACTGAAACAGAGGTCAATACCGGTTCTTCACTTTTATCATTGCCATTACTGTTATCATTGTCTCTATTATCAAATCCCGGATCAGGTATGGCCTCAAATTCTGTTATATCATTAACAGTTACATCTCTAGTATTATCACTTAGTCTGACATCACTTTCAGGTACGATATCTTCATTATCTTCATTATCATCGACTTTTTTATCGTTTGATGTGTCGTTACCATCGATTTGGTCTTCATCTTCTTGTTCATCGCAATCCTTAAGATTATCTGAAAATAACTGGCCGTCGGATAACTTGTCGACAATAGACTCCAAGACATGCAAACACTTGATGGACAGCGCGTGGATCTGATTGTATGCAAGCAATTGTTGACTACAAACCAATTGCTTGTCATTCAACAACAGATTCTGCTTCTTAAGCAATTCAATTGTGTCATACAATTGGCCGCAATTTACACAACTATTGTCCGCCGTGTCCATCATATTATCGTACGGTGTCTTCACATTGTTGTATATAAACTGATCCCAAAATATTTACGAAACAATTGAAAAACAATACAAAACAAGTCATCCAATGTTGAAGTGTATGTACAGGTAATACATGTATAGTATTAATATATAACATAACAATAACCCAATAGTAAACAGTAATGTGATTCACGGTATGTCCTGTTGTACCGAAACTCTTACCAATGGTTGTAATCGTGAAAAATTGCTATAATTTTCACGACTTATAGCCGTAATGGCTGCCAATTGATAGTAATTCCCGATTCTTACGGTACTACCGACAATCAGACCGGAAACCGGAATCGTTTGGAAACTTTAATTCGTGAGCTATAATAACAACACTAAGTTTTTTTTTGGTTAGTTATTGTAAATATAAACAGTAAGTGAATGAATAACACATTTTTTAAAGCAGTTACTCTTAGTTACACAAAAAACATATGTAATATACATCTCGAGTTCTCGGTAGATCATAATCCGTGTACAATAAACAGTAAGTGAATGAATAACACATTTTTTAAAGCATATAGTATACTCTCTATTAAATGATAAAATCTCTCTCTCTCTCTCTCTCTCTCTCTCTCTCTCTCTCTCTCTCTCTCTCTCTCTTTAGTATTCGAGATATTCGACTTTAAATTCGAAATTATTACACTATTAATAAATACCTATAGAGTAGAGACAATCAATGCATTCATGTTTTATAATAAGGCTAATAATATTAATATTATATTAATATACAGGTATTAAACCGTTATATATTTAAATAACAAATTGGCGCAAAAAATGATAATATTTATAATTTATGGTAAATTTTAATTAAAAATATAATAAACTAAATTTAACCAAATTTATATAATATTACCGGAAAACACATAAAAAATAATAATTTTTTTCAAATTAAACTCAATTTATTATTTTATTATAATAAAAATCATACAATTTATGGCAATTTATTTTTATATGTATGATATATAAAACCAATTGTCAGTTATTATGAATGATTGATTGATTTTTTAAATTTGTTGTCAATTATCTTAAGCACTCTTAGCTGTGGACTCTTGTTGTTCAAAGAGTGGATACTTTACTTTAATATCACTCCAACTTCTCTTGCCTTTTGCCAAATCGCTGACAATTGCGGCCAACTCTTCAATCTATAAAGTTTTTAATATTTTGTTATATAATTTATATATAAGTAGTTATGATTGACATACCGGTGCTCTAATCTGTTCCATTGAGTCCCTCTCGCGAAGTGTAGCAGTTTGGTCCTTAAGACTATCAAAGTCAATGGTAATACCGTACGGAATGGCTATCTCATCGGTTCTGGCGTATCGGCGACCAATTGAGCCGCCACTTTGGTCCACTTTATTAGAGATTTCATTTTGTGTCAACAATTCAGATATTTTCTTTACCAAAGGCCGGAAGTCAGCATTACCGCTGAGGGGTAAAACCGAACACTTGATTGGAGCGATAACTGCTGGCAAACTTAGATACGATCGCTGATCGTCACCTTCTCTGATCCGAAAGCTGTGCTCCCAAATGGTATACAAAATCCTTCCGATACCGAATGACGGTTCCACCACTCCTGGTGTGATCTCTTCCACGTGTGTTGTCTTTTGCGATCGTTTTATTGAAGCCATATCTTTGCTAATTTTAAACTCTTTGTCGTTAACTTTCAAAACAAACTCTCCGTTTGTTTCAAATTCTTTCTCATACTTAAGTATATCATCTGATTCTAAATCCTTAAGCGCTTCAGTGATAACTTTTGCGTCCGCTTTAAATGCTTTTCCAATTACCGGTTTGTTTGGCAAACACTCGAACATCTCGATCTGTCGCGGCTCCGGTAGGTCTTTCTCTGCCACTAACTTAACTCGTGTAGCTTTCGTGTGTTGAGTCAAATCAAAACACGATCGATCAGCACAACCAACACATTCAACCCAACCATATGAGGTCAAACACTCTGCATCCCAGCAATCAGTGGCATAGTGTGCCATTTCGTTGGACATATGCTGCCGAAAGCGCAACCTTTTCGGATCGACACCAACTTTAACCATAAACAAGTAAATTCTAGCCATAAAATAACCCAACGTTTCATTGGCCACTGTCTTGTCTTGAACTGCTTGTCCAATGGTCACCTGTTGAGCTGGTTTGCCATCCATTTGATTGCACGCCGAATACAATGTCAATTTGACATCTTTTACGGACTCAAATTTTGGATGTGTTTTGTCTGTAGGATCAACAAAATGTTCGATTTCAGCCATAGTAAACTCTCGGACCCGAATTAGTCCACTTCGCGGTGATATTTCGTTACGAAAAGCGTTGCCAATCTGTGCGGCGGCAAATGGAAGACGCTTTTGATTGAACTCCAGAAGTCGCTTGAAGTTAACAAATATTCCCTGTGCTGTCTCTGGTCTAAGAAAACCCTTCACAGCACCCGACGGTCCAATTAATGTACTAAACATCAGATTAAACTCAATGGCATCCGTCACCTCATTGCCAGTAATGGGACTCTTAATGTCATATTTTCTAAGAATATCGTTCATCTCTTCCTTTGAAAATCCGTCTAATTTGATAATAACGTCTTCATATTCATTCTTTTTATCGGAACTACACTTCTTGTCAGCCATTAGTTTCTCGAGATGTCCTTTAATCAGATGATCCAATCGAAAGCACTCGCCATTCTTTACATCTTTGACCATCAAATCGGCAAATCTCTCGACATGTCCCGAGGCTTTCAGTACCGGTTCGGGTGTCAGTACAGTGCAGTCAACTTCAAGCATACTTTCTTCGAGAACGAAATGGTTGCGCCAGACGTTCAATAAATTAGTTTTCATCGCACAACCCATCGGTCCGAAATCAAATTGACCGGCGATTGCACCGTAAATAGCAAATGATTGATCATAAAAGAAACGTCTCTTAAGAAGCTCTTCGAGTAGAGCTCTGTCAAAGCCGGCATTGATTGGCGCCAGTGATAACTCTTTGTCCTCTAATACCTTTTTGCGGGCCTTAAGCTCATTGACAGCTCGCTTAACGTCCACTTCGGGTGCATTTTGTTGTTTTAATGTCCGCACGATATCACCTATTAGTAGATAAAAAAAATGATTATTATATCAAACTTTTTGGTGAATAACAAATATGTGTCCACACAAACCTTGCTCTTTAACTGACAGCCGCAGCGGTTCCAGCAAAGCGGCAATCTCTGGATCGGTTTGTGACATAACTTTGTCGACGTAGAGTATCCGATACTTTGGTAACTTGTTTTTGGCCCAATCGGCGGCACGTTTTGTATGATTAAGTTGTGGACTTCGGTAAAGTCGTCTCAATTGTATTACGTGTACTCCAGTTATGACTGTTTTGAGTAATTGTTTTGTAAATCCCATACAACTAACAAAAAAAAGGCTTTCGTCGACAGGACTTTTAAATACCAGTTTTTACAGTGAATTGTTTGAATGGAGAGCACCGGTAGTTATGACATATGGACTGATTGTTACAACACTACTAATAGCAATGCATTTCATTCAAACATCAGTGCATTGCGTTAAACAATAACCATAGAGTCTATGGCATAGAGTTATATAATATAACTTATACTATACTACTATACTATATTAGCGCACAATTCAAGTGTTTCAATGCTATGCTATTTAAAAGTTTATTATAATTTATAATAATGTTTTGATAAAAAATTATTATGAAATGCTTTAAATACCTGTATATTAAAATTCATAATTAATTTAAATATTTGTTCAAATTGTTTGTTTGTTTGTAAATATATTAATTTAATTCTTAAATATATAATATTATTAAAGAGAAAAAGTATTTTTAATTTTATTTTTATTTTTAGTGATTCACTGTATTGTAGATAAAGTGAGAATCAATATAATACTACAGTATATACAGTATAAATGTAAAGACAAAACAATAATAATAATAACATATGTTTTGATGAATGAGTTGTCATTTCTATATTGGTTTATATACTTAACTGACAACAGTTGTCATCTGACAACTGATCCAAATATAAAATCTTAAAAACAAATACTTAACTAAAAAAAAAGATAATCCATTTGGCAATCAATGGCCAAAGTGGTGGCCCGCGAGACATACGCCGGCGATGACGATTGGGAAAGACTATACGTGGACACCGACAACACAACACAAAATCGGTTGACAGTTGTGGACAAACAAAGCCGTCGATGGATCAGTTGGACGGCGTTGAAGATGTTGTTTACTGTCTGCACAACCCATTTGTTTTATTAATACATCGATTGATTCAGTAATTGTTTATATTTCTGACAGTCTGTGTTTTTGCCGGCCGGTTATCCCGACTCCGTATCCAACGATTATCTCGAGTATCAGTTCTGGGATAGCGTACAGGCATTTGCATCATCTATAATGAATAACTTGGGAACACATGCTGTCCTCAAAGGTTGACTAAAAAAAGTAATTAAACATTTGGTCCAAAAATCATGACAACCTAACTGTTAATTTAGGTGTCGGTGTCGGAGACTCGAGTGCCACAGTATTGGCGGCCACTATAACGTGGCTATTAAGAGGTAAATAATTAAATTAACATTTAGTAACAATAAATGAAATGACAAAAAATGAATTTATGGATCAGATGGCACATCAATGTCCGGACGAATATTGTTTGCATACATCCAGAGCTCAAAACTGGACGCCGACTGTAAAAAGTGGCGATTATTTGCCGATATTATTAACGATATATCGATTATGATAGACCTGTTGTCACCGTATTTTGTCGACTACTTTATGCCAATGCAGTGTTTCTCTGGTGTACTCAAATCACTCGTGGGAACAGCTGGTGGTGCAACCCGTGCGGCGCTTACTCAACATGTAATCTATTTATTGATTGTCTAATGCGGTAATTATAATAATAGTATTTTGTTGTCTCAATAGCAATCCCGACGCAATAATTTGGCCGATGTATCGGCAAAAGATGGAAGTCAAGAAACACTTGTTAACTTAACGGCTTTGGTCTGCAGTCTTATAATGGTTCCCATTGTGGCCAATAATCCTCAGTAATAGCATTGACACACAATTAGATTTAATAATTTTGATTTTTTAATTTTATTTCTAAATAGTTTGGTTTGGCTTTTGTTTATTTGCTTTACAATACTTCACATATTTGCAAACTATAGAGCAGTCAAAGCGGTTTCATTAGAGACTTTCAATTTGAGCCGATTTGTCATTACAGTTGACAATTGGCTAAAAACTGGTCGCATATTATCAGTTCGGGAGGCAAACAATAGAGAGAACGTATGGTTTTTCTGGAGAGATCTATCCAATGGTTACTGTGATAATATTGCAACCGGTGTATCACTTAGAGATCATTTATGCTATTTTGAAATGAAAATATATCAAACCCAAGACAATGACTTCCAATACGTCTTAAATTATGATCAATCGATGTTCTGGAGATCTCCTACGCCTTGTGTCAACATATCATTGAAAAAGGGTTTCGAAACGACAGCCCTATTGAAGTCCATATTTCAAGCCATTGTACTTCTGTCTGGATATGAAAACTGTCACAAAAATAATCGTATATTTTATCGGTTAAAAGTAATGGAGGAAATGTTGGGTGCAATGAAACTTCTTGACTATAGTTTAGATGATTCAAACAATTTTATGAATCAATTGTCTAACTATAAGATTTTACAATATAGCCACCAATTTACCACCAAATGGTGGTCAGAATTTACCGACAATTTAGTGGCCGAAGGATGGGATCTGAGCAAAGTCTTGATAACACCTGACGAATGGCGGTTTGAGATTCAATCCGAATTAGTAGTCAACAAGAAAATCAATGATTATCGTAATCTTAATTCAATTAAAAAATAATGTATTAAAAAAATGATGACAAAATTAATAATTTCTAATTTATTATTAATGAAAATAAATATATTTTTTCAAAAAAAATTATGGATATTTTTCATTTCATAAATTTGTTGTCAAATAAAATCAAAACAAAATTAATTGATGGAAAACACGTTAATATTAATAATTATTACAATTTTGTTCATTTGTTAATATTTTTTTTAAATAACTTATATGTTTGCGATCAAACTTATCGATCATTTTATATATTTATAATTATTGGAATTGTTTTAAAAAACTTCGATTACAATTGATTACAATTATCTTAAGCAACAAATTTTGTAGTCTTATATAAATCTATAATATATTCAGTAATCCATGTTTGTGTGTGTCGTCAAGTTTTTTTTCGTAATTATATAAATGTTTATTTAATTAAACAAATAGTTAAAAAAACAAAAAAAAAAAGATATTTTGATATTACGGTAATTAATTAATTAATAATGAGTCGATTTGAATGAGGTTTTTATAATGTGAGATATTGATAATTAATTATAGGTGAAAATGATATAATTATTACTAAAGATTACATCAAATTAAATGATAAATAATAATAGTTAGAGACAATTTCAATTTAACAAAAAACTTGATTAAAAAAATTTGCAAATAAGTTGTCCAAAAACAGTGGTTTATAATGTAATATATATATATATATATATATAGAATCCATTAGTTGACAGTAAACCATAAAAAAATTGTCAGTAAATAACCAAAAAAATTTGGTAAAACTAATCAAATTAAACTGTAAGTAAAATATATATGATTAGTAGACATTAAAAAAATTAAATTACTAAACTTACAGTTATAATGTTGTCACAAACTCCTAACAAGTAATCAATTATTTTAGTTATTAGATGTGTCAATGATAAATGTAGTGCCGTCGGGTGCCGTTATCTGTCCATTGCCTGATATAAGATTGGCCAGAGTTGCTTCGTCCAATGTCAACGAGCCGTCCTCATTAAAACAGTTTGCCGGCAACATAATGGTCTGTTCTGATCCATCGCCTGATTGGCTAACAATAGTGGTCAGCGCGTTGTCAACTTCTTGCGATTGTGTTTGTTGTACTCCAGTTAATTCTGTCGGCTCATATGCCACTGTAGTGCCGTTTGCAGGAATAGTTGCCACTTCGCCCGGTCTAACAAAGTTCAATGAATTAATTACATCCGATACGGCCATTCCTTGCGGTGCTGTAATCTCCATGAGTTCACCGCTTTCCTGATTCAATATCATAATGACTTGCGTCCCGTCGTCCTGTTGAGTGGCAATTCCCTGAGCGGCGGTCAATGCGTTCAAATCAATCATTGGCTGTTGTTGTTGTTGTTGCTGCTGCTGTTGCGCCACCTTTTTCGGTGTACGCGCTCGGCTTCTCGATTTAGGAGCCGGTTTGGGTGCAGTCGTATTAATCGTCTGCGGAACCAATTCCATAGGTTTAACCTCTTGTGTCTCGTGTTTGATGTTTGTTTTGACACATTTATGTCCGGCCAAGTCTTTGGGACTTTTGAATAGTGCCGAACAGTGGCCACACTTGATAACAGTGCTGCTCACTTGAGGCGGTTTGCCCAATGGTTGCGGCGATTTAGCTTTCAATGATGTGGTGTTCAGGTTGGGTGTGGGAAACTTAACGGGCTGTCCGTCATGTTTGATGGGATTCGGTTGAATCAACGGCGTCTTTGTCTGAGAAGGACGTCCTGGCGATGGTTTTTGGGGCGCCATGTTTTGCGGTTGGATACGTTGAATGGCTTGATGTGACCGCTGATGACTGTTCAACATATTCACATTCCAGAAGGCTGTCAATAAAAAAAAATTAAAATTTATGTTTACCGAACTACAGGTATAGTGTAAATAAATACAAAAATAAAATATAAGATAAACGCAAACAGGTATTTATAGGGTCCGGTAAAATAAAATGTATATCATATTTCATTGATGCAATTGAAACGGAGAGGGGATTGCACCCGTAGATCAACCAATAGACCAATGGGTAAGCGCTCCGTTACTATGGCTAGGTGTAGCTCACAAATATATGCTGGCCACGATTACACGGGGTGATAAACGATACAACGGGGGTTATAAACACAACGGGGGGTAAACAGTACAAACTAATAGTCAACTAATAAAATACGTGTTCGTATTCACATCAATCCGAACGGAACCGGAAGCCACTGTTCGAACGGCAATAAATTTAACTAACGTCGAACAGAATCGAACCACAATTACCGTCAGAATATCAATAATACTATATAATATAAACTCTAAGCCAATACTCGGCTTATAGACATATACTGTGTATACCAACAAAATATGTATTACTTATATAACTTTAAATACAAAACTTTATTATTATTTATTAATTAAACTTATAATTGAATTATAATTGAGATCATTAAGTATATTATTATTGATTAACTAAACAGTTAATTAAATTATTAAATCAATTAAGACAAAACATATAATAATTAAATGCCCTAAGAGTGGGACTTAAAATTACACCAAAAACATGTGTTAATTGAAGGCCGTCTAAAAACACGACTTTCCTCTCTCGAGTGTAACACTAGACTGAACATAAAGTAATACAAAAACTAAACACTAAAACAATACAAAAATATAATAAACATATTAAGGTTAACATATAATTCTCAATATTGAATATTAAAGTACAAAATAGTTTTAAACTTATAATCGAAAGTCAATATTATAATAAATTGAATAAATAATTAAACGATTAAATGATTGAAATGTTTTAACATTTCACAATACATGGCATAGTAGTCAATATATTTTCTACAGATTCCCAACCCATTGGTTTCTGTTTACAAAAATACATGTTATAATTGAATAACTATAATTTCACTTAAAATTTATTTTTAAGATAAAACAATATGTTATTATTAAATAGTATTACTATAATTGGTTTGGTTTTATCATTTGATAATTATTTTGGTTTCGATCTCTATTGTATGTATTGCAATGCATTATACGATTCAGTATTGCACAGTATTGTAAAGTTATAGACAATATTTCGTTATTATATAATAAAGCAAATAAAAACACTAATTGAAAGTTAAAATCCTTTTTGTTTTTAACATTTAACTGGATATTTGAAACCACAAGTGGTATCATATATAAGTAAATTAATTTAAGTCTATATATATTGAAGTCAAAAATCGACAATTGGTTACAAACCTTGTCCGCAAACGTTGCATTTAAATTCACTTTTGTGGCCTCTATAGTGAGTGACAAGCATTGATCTGGTGGTAATAGTGCGGCCACAGTCTTCCCAATTGCAGACAATCGGGTCCTGATGTACCTCCATGTGTGCGTTCAGCTGTTCTCTGTTGTAGAATTTTTTAATACACTTCTTGCACTCGAAAGCGAATCCATGGGACACGAAATGTGCCAAAACATCGCTCTGCGGTTCATTACACTCCTCGCAGATCTGCAACTTATCCGGATGTGTGTTCTGAATGTGCGCCCGTCGGGAGCCTAAAGGTAAACATATAAGTTTTTTGTTGATTAATTCAAAATGTTTTATTTTAAACACAATGACATCGATGTGCTAGCGCTTACTGGGTGTAGCCGTCGATATACCACAATAAGGACACGAGTATTGATGCGGTTCAGTCTCCAAGTGATGTATGTATGACTCTTTCATACCGAAGAAAGTGTGACACGCCTTACATTTGTAATTGCGTGGCTCTGTTCGATGAAAGTGTCCGGAAGCGGTAAATTTGTTGATGTGTTGGTCAGTAATTAGATGTGCGACTAAATCCTCGTCGGAACCAAAATATAGATCACAATAAGCGCAGACAAACACCTAATAAGTGATTAGATAACAGTTATTTAAAAAAGAAATTACCCATAATTTTTAACTTAAGACATACTTCATCTGGATTTGTGATAATAGTTTTCTGCGTGTGATTTGTAGTAATCATGTGCTCGTGAAACGCTTCGGCAGATGTGAACTGTGCCTTACAGTTGGAGACATTGCATTGAAACTCTTTATTCAATTTATGATAGTTAGACATATGTAGATAATAAAGTCGATAAACTTTAACCATTTGGTCGCACATACGACACCAGTGGCCAACAATTGTGTCTACTTTGGCTTTTCTGAGTTCTTCCTCTGGAGTCAGATCATCGATAGTCAGCTCTTTAATAAGCGGCGGATCAATCAACTGTGGCGTAGCGTTAGAATAACGTCTCATATCGGACACCCATTTCATGTGAACGTGATGTTGATGTAAAAGACATATCTCATTATTCTCGAATTCGTCACCGCATAAGAAACAAATGGCCGCTTCTGTAACGTCAGAATTGGACTCTTGTTTAACAACTGCTTTGCTTTTATCTTCCTTTTCTTTCGTTTCCTTGTTGTCCTTCTGACCGGCCATCGGACAGTTCTGTGCGTGTGTCAGCAGATCTTTGCCGCGACCGCACGGCTTAAGACATGCGACACACGAAAACTCTTGAGGACCCGTTTGAACCATATGAGACTGTTGTATGTGTTTGTTAAGCCTATCTATGCCTATCAGCAATCCGTGACAATAATAGCATTGCATATTCTGTGTCGAGTTATTAATCATATGTTTGGCGCGGAAGTGATTCTTCAATCGGTTCAAGTCTTGCGTCACTAACACACAATTCTTGCACTTAAATGACTTCATCTTATGCTCGGTCTTCATGTGCCGGTGATGTGACTCGAAATCGGCCGACTGGTGCTTGCATTGGGAACAGTAGAAAAACATATGCATCTTAAGTATCTCTTCCTGTTCAATCATTGTCACCTCTTTGTTGTGATCGAAACAGTAGTGTTGTTTCATGTTCTCGATGTTGATGAGTCTGACCTCATCACCGCAGTACTGACACGGAGCGTTCAATGGGATTGAGTTGTTGTTTGTCCGGAGCTGAATGATTATGGACTTTGGCAAACATATAAACACTATGTCTTCTGAAAACTTGGCGTTAGCCGTCACTACTTCCAACTCGTGCAGCGATCGATAGTGAGATATGATATCCTTTTCCTCTTTGGTTGCATAGCTGACGTCTATACCTTTGCAAAGAAGACAGACATATCGGTTGGCCTCCATTGGTGATACAATTTGGCGAAACAAATAAGATTCTTCTTCGTGTTCGACACTGAGCGCCAATTTCAATGGTAGTTCCGAATGCAAGAGCAGTATTTTGTCGGGAAGTTTGGTAAACTGAGAGTCGGGTTCTGTGTCAAGTGTGCACTCGTGAACATCGGGCAGTCCATCAATGTATTTGGTCGACGAAATTGGTGTTCGCCGTTGTGTGGAAGCAGGTGTTCTCTTTTGATTGGTTGCCGTCACAGGTGTAACAAGTTTTGGCGTCACTTTACTGGCTGGAGTCGCGCCCAACAGTTGCTGTTTAAGTTGTGATTGAGATATTGTTAGCAACTGTTTCGGCGGTTGCGATATGGATTGTTTTGGAGTGACCCGAGAGTATGTATTGATAACTTTGTCTTTGCCGACAGGAGTTGTTGTTTTGATTTCTTCAAATTTCTTTCGGGCTCTCGAAGGCTTATAATCATCATCTAATGGATCTGATTTGGCGCCGTCGTCGTCGAAGTCAATTTCGACGTCTTCGGATTTGTCACCAACTTTTTTGCTACCTTTGAAGGCAACTTTCTTTGACGAACTTGTAGTCGCATCGACCTATTCATCATAAAAATCCCAAAGTTTGATAAAACAATAAATCAAAACTGAAAAACTAAATCAATTACTTTGATATTGGTTCCATCGGGAAGTGTTACCACTAGTTTGGTTCCGTCACCAATCTTGGCAACGCTTATGTTTTCGTTGGTCTGAACTACTGACTCGTTTGGCGTACGAATGCCGACGTTAGGCTTGCGTTGTTTCGGTGGCATCACATCTGTCGTTAGTTTGAATGTTGGCGACACCGATACCTCTTCGTCATCGCTGCCCATCAATCGTGAATTGGATGCTGTCGTCGATGGAAACTTAATGGCAGATCGATCGCGTTTTGGGGTATCAAAAGGCGGCGGCGAATAACGAGATTTTGATTTTATTTGATCTCTTCGTCGCAAAGAACTACTCCCTTCTGCCATAATACCTGTCCATCAAAGTACTGATTAAATACAAGTTTTTTTTAAAGAACAAAGACTAACCTCTTTTTTTTGCATCAGTATTCGGTATATACCTGTCCTCATCTTTGATCGGCTCTTTCGGTTTGCGGCCTCTTTTTCGTATCGAATCTCCATCGGCTGAAGATTCTACAGATTCATTTTGGTCATCATCAGTGATGCTATTATTTACTGCAACAGATGAAGAGACACGTCCTCTCTTAGCCGTCCAACGACCACCTCTTTTGGCGGGTGACGATGGCTTAGGTTCGGGTTCAGGCTCTGTCTTGGCCTTCAACTGAGGTTTTCTTCTGTCAACTTTAACTTCTTTAGGCGTCGCAGTAGTCTCTTCAGTCGTCACATTCATGTCAACTTCTTCGCCATTTGTTGTTTCTTTAGTCGCCAGTGTTTCGGCCGGAGTTTGGCCATCGGTAGCCGGTCTCGGAGTGTCGGCAGCAGTTGTTTCGCCGGTACGAGCGGTTGCGGCCGAACCACGTGGTGACGTCCGACTGGCACAGCGTCCGCCGCGACCTCCGCGTGCCATTCAATCGRTGTCACAACTGTCTTATAAAAACGGACTAAACAAGTGATCGACAATAAGTGAAAAACCAGTCTTTGCTTTGCTTTTGAAAAATAAGTGACAAAAAGGTTTTGTTAGTGTTTTTTGTGTCAATAATTCAATTAATATTTTTTAAAATTTATTACTTACTGTTAATTATATATTTTATTACAATTATTATAATAAACACATAAAAGATAAACACAAATACTGTTTGTTTGTAATAATAATAATTAATTTATTGGTAAATATTATTATTATTATTATTAATATATGAAATGTTTTGATCTAACTATTAATGTATTGATTTAAATATTGTCCACAAATTACTCTTAAAAATGGTATAAATATTTCAATACTAATACACAGTTTTTTTGTCTCAAAACTACAACACAAACGCTAACATACAGTGTGTTTGTGAATCGCTTTTATAATACATGTATTATAAATGCCGTATATATATAGCTCATAGAGTATAACACACACAGTGTTTGCCCCCAAAACACGTGTCCACAAACTGTTACCTACTGTTATCCAAACCCATTGCCCGACACTGTCCTAACTCACCCCCGTATAGCTAACTGTGCACATTGTTTGTGTATATAATGTTAGCCATATTGTACAGTCAGTATTAGTTTATTATGTGTTTTTGGGCACTGGTAGTTATATAGGTATGGGTTAATATATTTATTAATACATATATACCGGTTGTGCAAACTATTAATTATTATTATTTATATGAAATAATTTTAATAATATTTTTATTTGATTGTCGCCGCTCTCTATACACTGTATATATGTGACACACATCCTATAAAAAAGGCCTATAAATAGCACTGTTTAGCAATAATAATGCGTCCATTTTGTTGATATCGCTGTGCATTAGTGTATAATAGCGCCAAACGTTTTGCCAATTATTTGATTTTATTTCTGGCATTCAATACAATGAATACAAACAAACATAATATTATATTTCTCTATCAATACTTAACGCCAATTAATTTTTTACTAACAAATTGTTGTCATAATTGTTGCCAATTGTGACAATCAATTACCGGTTACCGTATATATAGTATGTATTGTGTATTGCTATAAAAATGGACAAAATTATCGGAAACTTACCCTTAATTTAATGAAATTGACGACAAATTGAAACCTATTTTTGTAATATACTTATTGTTTAGACATATATATAATGGAAGTTATCGTTCAATAGGTGGCACTATATATGATATGTTATAGGGATATAAATTTTACGCTAATATTAACCTAAAATAATATATAGTTTGTTATGTATAGTATAGTAACTATAGTTTAATGTATAGTTTGTTAAATAACTTTACTTTTTGTTGTTGTGATAAATATTGCATACAAACTATAATTTACATTCAATACATTTTAAAACAAAAAAAAAAGTAGAAATTGTTTAAATGAAATTAATTAAAAAAATAGATTTAATTAAAATTTATAATTTATTTAAAAATGTTATCCTAAAATATTAAAATTAGTAATACTATGCTATAATCAATGTCTAGAGCCATATGACGCTTAAAGCACAGGTTCTCGTTTGATGACCGAAGTTAAGCAGCCGAGAGCCCAGTTAGTACTTGGGAGGGACACCACCCGGGAATACCGGGTGTCCTTTTGTGACATTTTTTTCTACACGTATAGTCAAATAAAAAATTATAGATTTTACATTGTATGTGTGTTTATTAAAAATAAATTTAACTTGAAAAACTTTAATTAATTTATTTTAGTATAATATACTGTATAATATCATAAATATACAGTACTGTATAAATTATAAACAATTGATTATTGAAAATGTTTTATTTCAGAGAATTGTAAATCGAAATAATGATTATAAAAATGTTTTTTTTAATAATAAAAAACAAATTTAACATATTATATGATAGATATAAAATGTCTACATTGTCTAGGACACCCGGTATTTCCAGGTGACCTCCCATCCCAGGTACTAACCGGGCTCGACACGTATTATTGCCCTGGACATTAGGTACTGCCCTATTATATCATTTTTATAGCCTTCAATTCAATCTAGTTATTAAGATTATTACTAAATTATTCAATATTAAATATTTAATGCTATAATAAATTTAATATTTGATTAATATTTGTTTGCACATAAAAAATTGATCATAAAAAATAATCATTTCATCCATATAATTAATTCACTATAAAATGCTTGATAATATTGATTATTTTATACAATTTATTGCAATGTTTGTGTGTATTGCCTAAAATTTGTTTAAAATTGCATAAATAAGTGTAATAACTTTCACTGTAATATTTTCATACAAATTTACTTAACAAGTTAAAAACATTACTTTTTTATTGAAATTAGTTTTAAATACGATTTTTCAATAAATTGATAGCTTATTTTAGTATGTATATTTTTTATTAAATAATTAATGCATAAACTTTTTAAAAACAATTTTGAATTTCCTATTTGTAAATATAGTATAATTAGAAATAAAGTAACACCAGATTTAATACCTCAACAAATATAGTATTTTTTTATTTCATAATTGTTTATTTTGACATTATTTATCAACAGTTATGATATAATAATAATCTTAAACTTATTCTACTGTATTATAATTTTAAATATTTATATAATTACTTGAAATTTTTGTGTGCAATATATTTTTTAATACAATTAATAATACATTATTGGATTTGTTTTTTCAATTATAAAATTAAAGTCTATTATCAAAAAACAGTTTTAAATTTATAGTTAAGATATTAAATAAAATTTGTATTTAATGTTGGTATGTTTGTAAATAGTTTTACATATTTAGCAATTATTAACATTTTTAAAGCCAATAATTATAAATAAGTAAAGCAATATTAATTAATTTATATCTATAGTACTAATTATATAATAATATACCGACACCTAATCTCCGGGAGAGGTTTAACTCATTAAACAATTTGTGTGTATTTCAATAGCAATTGTATTGTATTTCAAATATTTGTGAACAAATGGTTTGTAGCAAAAAATGCCAGAATATTCTGTATTTCGCATATGTGTACTATATTATCAATAATATTCAGTATTACAAACTGTTTGTGTGGGCGGGAATGTAAGTGTGTGTGCTATTGATGTAATTGTTTTGTGTGGGCCTCGAAATTTGGGCGCAATGTTAAGGACAGTTGGGTTTGTTTGGTTATTTTTTATCACACATTTATCATATTTGTCAAATAGGACTGCATTGTAGACATGATTTCAATTAAGAGTACAGTCGTAATGGGTTTGATTATACAAATAAAAATAAATTATACTGTAAATATGTATGTATATAATAAAAAAATGTAAATGATATAAATAATTATAAAAACAATAATATTTGTCAAATAATAAAAACAACACAAAAAGTACTTTAGTTTGAAAAATAACATAAAATTAAATAATTATTATAAAAAACAAAACTTAAAGACTCAGTCTTGGAATGTGTGGAACAATCACTTAGTAAATCACATTTTGATACAATAATAATAAATATAACATTGTATTTATAAGGAAAACATTTTGGTTTTATAATACATTGAATAATACTTCAAATTTGAATGTTTTGTTACAATTCATTAATATTTTATCATCAAATCATCGATCAGTTATTTTTCCGAGATTATTATATTTTTGGCCACAAAATACAATTAATTTAATTATATATTAACAAAATGTCACACAATTGGGTATAAATTACATACTTAGAGGTTAACAGTGGCAACAAATCTCAGGATAGACTCTCAGATCACACTTTTAGTATTACTATGGAATGTATTGTACATAAAAATTATATATAAATACTAAATATATATATATAATTGATAAAAATTATCTAGTATATTTTTTTTGTTATAATTGTATGTAAATTTAACAAGTGTATTGTTTGTAATGTGTATATACAGTAGATAGAAATATTAACAAAATGCATATTATATATATAGTTGGCAAATATGAGACCAGCAAAATATTATGCACCTAATTGTGAGCTAATTTGTGAGTTTTGGTGTGTCTATGAGTAACACACAACAGAGGAATGCCTAATAGTTCCCATAATATGAAGACTTATTTATCAAAGAAAAAAATAAACAACAGATATACTAATCAACAAACTAATGAATTGTATAGTTAAGTGATACCCACTTAATAAAAGTTATTTCAGAGATAGATGTGTGTTAGCCGTCTCACCAAACGGTTGTCTCTTCCGATTGATTTGACTGTTGCTGTTGTGTCTGTGAGTGCGTTGACGACGACAACGTCGTCACTGCCGAAGTGTTGGCCGATATTTGGTTGTTATTATTGTTGTTTTTGGCAGCAAATCTATTGTATAATTGGAACGGATTATTGGTCACTAAATAGGATGTGGCGATCGTATTGTTTGAGACGTCTTCTGTGTCCGAGTTTGTAGTCGTCGTGTTTGTTGTACTCGACGATAGCGACAGAGGAGTCGATGGCAGCTTCTGTATGACCAAAACGGGAGCCAATTATAAATATCCACATATAATAAGGTTAACCATTGATAATATTAGACATGCATGTCTTTCTTAATTGAATCACAATATTGAATACAAAACGGAATGACAAAACAACATCAATGGACGGGAACAGTATGTTTGGATTGCAGTCAACTCAAGTTTGGTTCGCAAAATCACTTACTTTGCAATCATTGTTGGTATTACTATAGCTGTTGGGATTGTTGTCTAAGTTAGCGTTTGTCAGATCAGGATTTGAAAGACTAGATATCATATCGTTTTGATTGCTTGAGTATTCACTAGTATTGCCCTCTTCTTCATCACTAATATTACCGTCTGAGCTAATTGTAGACATCGATTGTCCGCTAAGTCTATGTTGGTTCATGTGTTGAGCCAATCCATTCCTTTTGTGATGCGATGGATGACTGCCGTAATCATCGCTGTCAACGGCACCCTCCTCTTCACTACCTGAACTGGAACTATGAGATATTATTGATATATTGCTACCGGCGTGAAGTAGAACCGGTCTTTGGCTTATATATGTGGGCGACTTGTGTTGACAATTGCCGTACCGTCTCTGACAGGTAACACTACCCTTGCGAACAATGACAACATCGCAAAAATCATTGGCTTTGGCAGTGCTGTGACCGCCATTCTCGTCAATTGAGCTCAGACTGGGAACAGTATTTTGTATAATATTGTTTGAGCGACACTTCCTATTCGTACGGCTCGAGTCCTCGGTATCCGTTTCTATAGAACTCGATTTTCCTGAAATCGGTGTCACAGGACTTCTATCGTGATTACCATTACGAGCGGTTGGTGTCGACAAACAGCTCTGTGAGTCGAATCCCGAGTCAAACGTTGATGTAGTGCTAGTCTTAGGTATACCACGAGGTATACCACTGTCGTCTCCCATCTCTATTACCGTCTCAACATTGCGTCCCAATGCAGACATTGGTGATAGTGTCGATGAGGACGGACTAATTAAATCAGATTCACTGAACACACTATCAGTTTGTGTTTCTGTGTCCACAAAACTCTTCCTCTCTTGAAGAGGACTCGGTCGCGGACTATAATTAATGTAATTGTTATTTATTGGTGAGTTCATCGTCTGGCCAACACTTTGATGGGAATGACTGCTTGCACTGGTCTGCGAATTGATACTACGCCTAAGCCGATTCCGTTTAATCCGTGAACGGGCCGACCCGTGACATGTTATACAATCATTAGACTGTTTGACAGGACTTTGCATATCGATGGCCTGATCTGGTCTATAGGAACCTCTTCTACTTCCGGCAATTCTTTCTTGAGCCGCTTGTATGAGTGGACCTACAATTTGTCGTTTACACTGCCCTTTACTACCCATTACCATCATTTCTCTTTTGTTGAGCTCCTTTTCCTTTTGCTCCAATTGTAACATACATGCCGTCAAATCCATATACAAATTGTTAGCCCTTTCAAGTTTGCGTTCGTAATGTTCACGTATGTCCTGTGCGTGGATCAGCTCTTCTTTACGCTTTCTAACCAACTCTGCCTCGTCATCGCTGGACATCGACTGATGACTATTACGTTTCATTCGCTGCAAACAATTGGCGATTTCGTCTCTCCAATCGATTTGTAGTTTAAAGTACTCTTCGGGTGCAATGTTGATCAATTCATTGGCTGCAATGTCGACGTGCATAAGGATCTGCTTAAATGAGGGTCGATTGCGAGCCTTTCCGCTCCAACATTGCTTCATAAGTAGCTTAAAGCCTCCGGGAAAGCATTTGGTAGGTAAGGGTAGCGTTAGACTGGAATTGCCGACACCCCATATGATGGCCGACGAGTCGACATCGCGATACGGAATCTCACAGTTCATCAGTTCCCATAAGACTACACCAAAACCCCTATTATAGAGACATTCATAATCATTAAAACATTGTATTGTAAATGTATTTTAATTTATTGGTCTATTTTTTGGGAAAAACATTTTATATCGGGTTTTCCCAACTTCTATATATATACACAGTATATATAGTTGTCATCACTTTATTTGTATCCTATAGTAGTAATAAAGTAGTAGACTATATGACAGTATGTTTATGTGTAGTAAAATAAATTAGATTTTTCTCAAATGTTAGATGAAAGCAAAAATTGACTTAAATTTTACCCAAAAAATAAATCAATCGATATTTGAGACAATAATGGGAACAATGCAGTCATTTCTTTAGAATTTAATGTTTAATGTCATCACTCAATTAATTTTACTTATTTATTATTATTATTATATAATTTATATTATATATATTTATATATATTAAATGTTAATAAACACAAATGGGGGTAACACCAAGTTTACCATTTACAGCTTAATAGATACAGTATTTTCTACTTTATTAGTTATGCCGGCATAGATAATTAAAATCCATTAATAATATATATATATATATATATATATTATATAACTATTACATAATATATTAGGTCTGTTTTAAAAAAAACATTAATTTATACTTTATAGTCTAATCTGATTAAATATAAAATTTTATGCTATAATCTCTTTTTTGTATAATTCAATTATATGGTAAAAATTGGCATTTTGTCAATTCCCTGTTAGTGCTTAACTGACTGACTGACTGTCCACCAAATTAAATGATAATATAATGATTATAATAATAAATAAAAAAAAAATATATATATATATACAGTACGTTTTTTGTAATCGATTTTCATTTGGTGTGTATGTGTTATGTGTCTGCCATACGATATGAGACACAAATTATGCAAAAGAGTTATCGATTGCTTTTATTTATTGATGACAAACACACAACAAATTTCCCCGAAAAAAGAAAAATATAGTTTATATTGTTAAAGAAAATCCTTATTATAAATGTTATACTATTTTACTTTATATACACTGTACTTACAAATAAAAATAAAAAATCTGAGAAATATCAAAAAACATATTTGCCATTCAAGCTAATGATATATGAGACCTATTTACAAGTTTATATACAAATCGTTACTTTGAATTTGTAATAAACATTTTTTAGCGACAATCATAATAATAGTAAAAAACAGAATCCGATATTTGTTTAATTTTTGTTAAAAACATTTCTCTTTAGTGTCTCAATGATCACTAAATTAAAAAAATTATGTCATTATATATGCCTATAAATATTGTATGTGTGTGAGAGAGAAAGCAAATGGTTATCCCAGAAATGGGACAAAAACAATAAATATAAAGTATTCATATTTTTACTAATTTGTAGACCATTTGTATGTTAGAGAACGGGACTGTCATTACAGGTATATACTGTATATATTGGTATCTTAAGTAAAATTAATGGTTTATAGTCTTACCAAACATCGACTTTCTCAGAACAGGGCTCATTGCGTATGACTTCCGGCGCCATCCAAGCCTATAGACATATGAAAGACAATTAAAATTCTTGAGCTTTCAACTGAAGACATTGTCATTATTAAAGTTGTCAAATAAATTTTCATTTTATATGTTATACATTTGTATTACATTCAACATTAAAGGGAACGGCTCAGTTTGCTTTAGGTATGTGCTTAGAGTGGAGGGGGGTTGGCATTTGAAAAAATCATATGTCTAATTAGATACGTAATGGGCTAACAGTTTAGTTTATACTTAAAATACAAATGTGTTTTTTCTGTAAACTTGAAATACAATATTTTCTCTATTAGTGATAATTTTATTTTTATTATTATTTGTGCTGAAATTTATTGCAAATTAAATTAATTTTGTTATGTAATAAATAGTATACACTGACTGTAAATTTGATGTTTAAAATATTTCACTCGAGTATCATATAATAAGTATCATATATAAAATATAAAAATAGTAATAAAATTTATTATATCAATAACTCTGTTATTAATATTACTGGTTATTAAATTAACAATAAAAAAATAACACATGACTTGTATAGAGTATAAAAAAATAATTAAGTTGAGGATCAGTTAGAAGTTAATAAATAACTTACGAAAAAATAAAATAAATTCAATTATAACTTTAGGAAAGAGATTGATTAGATATACGGTTTAATAATTAAATTATTTCAATCAATGATTCATATAAGGCATTAAATATTACATAACTGTTCAATAATATAAATCACTTAAAGTGAAGTCAAAATTGAGATAAACTACTGGCATTCAAATGAATAATTGACAAAAAATTTAGTTATTTCATATGATAGATAGCTATTTGTTTTTATCAGTTATTAAGATACATATAAAAATAAATTTTGATTCTCAGGTGTATTAAACAAAATAAAATGGCTTTTAAAATACATACCACTGTTCCCTTGAATGACATTTTTGTTGACCTATCGTTCCACTGTCTACTGGTGCCAAAATCAGATATCTTGAGTATATCGTGATAGGATACGAGAACATTTGGCGACTTCAGATCCCGATGAATGATCTTATGGCTGTGCAAATAGCTCATACCTGACGCTATTTGTACTGTCCAGTCGACCACTTTTTGGGGCGGCACCTGTTTGCCACTCTTGAGCAAATCGTATAACTGTCCGTAGGGACAGTATTCCATAACAATACAGTAACAGTTGGGCGCCTGAGTGCACACCCCTTTGAACGACACAATATTCGGATGATTCAGTTTTCTCAGATGTTTAATGTCGGTCTCAAACTTCTCTTTAACTTTTTTAACGGCCACCAAATCGCTGTTGACTCTACCCATAAACACGGCTCCCTGTGCTCCGCTTCCCAACCATTCCAAGTCACGAATATTATCAAATGGTATCTCCCAATCGTCTGATTTGTTTTGTTTGTCGACACTCTTGTCGAATGTACTCCAAAAACTGCGAAGACAGCCAAAGAAGCCATTCAACAATTGTTGTCTTTTATTGCTTGACGAAGAGCTGGCAATGCTTGGACCGGGCAGTGCTATACGAATAGGTGTTGTAGCGATAACGGCGCCCGCAAACGGTGTGGCCGGAGTAATGGCATTGTACGGATTGAACGCTATGTCTAATCGATTGGGAACATCCTTACGATTGCTTTCATTTAACAGATCGGGCAGTGATGTACTCAAACTGTGATTACTTATACTGTGTCCGATGGCTGTTGTCGTCGTTTTATTTTTATAGTTATTATTGTTGGGCTCATTCCTCGTCTGCAGTGTCAGTGCCACACATTTGCCACCACTTTGATTGGTCGTCACTCGCGGAAGTGTTAAATTGATTTGTGTTAACTCTTCTTTAATGCATAGCATCCTTTGGGATCATTGAAGATATTAAGATATATCGTAAAGAAAAACAAAATCAAACGTTAATTTTTGAAACAAATTAAATGTCATTTAAAATGAAGAGTCAAACCCGTTATCAAATGGCTGGACATCGGTATTGATGCCATCAAAATGATCGGTCAGATCATCGCTCAGTCGTCGTCCGCCAGCTTTTCGGTCGGCTTTAGGTGAACCCAATGTCCTGAATCGGCCGGGAATGTCGTCGCGCGGTATTTCACTCGGACTCACAGCACTTATTACCGCTGAGCCCGACATTTGTGTTGTTGTTATTGTGTTGATGTCTAACACTGACTGCCTATTGCTGTGCTGTCTATGAGTCAGGCATTACAGTACTAATACAAACTGACTGTTCAAATACAATACAATACAATACATATACAAAACAGTATTGCAAGTACTGGTATATATTGTGTATGCATTAGTTTATCTAATAAACCATACATTCAATATTAAAATAACCAAATGATATAATTGTATCTAATATTAAACTCAACATTATTGTACTTGGTCATTTTTTGATTAATTGTAAAATTAACTTGATAATAGTCAACTATTTTATGTCGATGCTATTATCTAGTTAATTTTACAATTAATAAAAAAATGGCCAATTACAATAATGTTGAGTATAATAGTATATATAAATATGTCCATGATCATTTTTAAATTGAATGTATGGTTTATCAGATATTTAATATAAACTAATGAGTGGAATACCTGTCTAACCGAATACTCTGCTAAATTCATACACCATATATACCATGACTTGTAATACTGAATATAATACAATTGAATACAACAACACTCGCGACTATGCGTACAACACATACATTGAGAGAGCAATCGCTCATTATTTTCAATACACACTGTATTTAATATATACATCGCATAAACCAAATACAGTACAGTAGTGTCGCCACATATACTGTACTGTATTGAAGGCAAGTGTCTCTTAATACTGTACTTCAAAAGTTAAGCCACTTTTTTAGCACTTAAATATTTATAACAATTTTTAACTTTCACCCTTAGATAGCAATAGAACACGAGTTCAAATCTAGCAGAGTATCAATATTTTTATTTTATTTAATGTTTTAAAATTATAAACAAAAAATAACTAATTTATTATTACATCAATAACAACAAATTAATCAATAGTTAACATTTAGAGTATATTTTAAATGTAATTAATATAAAAGTAAAATCCTCTCATATAATAAATAAATATAAATATAATCATAAAATTTTACTATTTCTTAAACATTTATGAATTTCTTATACATTATAAACTTTATAATATATGGTTTAAAATGTAAATTATGTGTTAAAACTGACTTCTTTTAAATCAAATAATAGTAATAATACTGTAATAATATATATGAAAGTCCAGTGAGAATATGCTATTTTTGGTGTTTCCACTAAATCTACCCTTTCTTTCTTTTTTGGTCTTTACAGTTGTCATCTATATTACAAATATAACCCATTAATTAATTAATTAATTTGCTATCCGATTGCCAGATCTTATGATAAAAACTAATCTCTATTGTTATCTACAGTACATAAAAGTAAGCGCAGGTGTATATACAGTACAGTACTATATAGTATATACTGTAGTCCTGTATATACTGTCAATAACAGGGGTTCAATGCAATCAATTGGTGAAGTATTTGCTGAAAGTATTCAAAATCTATAATAAATAGCAGTAATAGTATTGAATGTATTGAATGTATTGAATGTATAGTAGAGTGAAACCAATTCTAGGAAATACACTATCATTTAAAGGCCATGTATTCAACATAAACACTGTTATACTATAGACTACTGCTTTATACAAATTATTATATACAGTGACTGTCAGTGAGTGTCAAACAATTGAAATGACATCAATTTATACACTTAAATAATAGGGTATTATTATATTATTATAATAATTATTTTATAGAAAATACCGTAACGTTTTCAATGTAGTGCATAAATAAAATAAAAATATTAAATAAATTGCTATAAATAATACATGGATTCAAATAAGCTTATGGCGCCATCTATTTTATGGCAATGTATATAATTATGTATATAATTTTATTTTTCAACTAAACGATAAACTAATTGATACATTTTATTTAAAATTAAAAATAGTTTTTTTAGTTAAATTTTATTTGAAAAATAGTTTTCCCAATTAAACTAAACTAAGTATGATCTTAAATTTACAAATTAATTGTTGTTAAACAAACTTATTTATTCAATATTAGATATTATTAAATAGCAAACTTAATTAAATATTTATACCCAGATTTTACTAGATAAGTTTTTTATTTTTTTATATATACATGTAGTGGAAAAGTTACTGTATCAATTAAGCTAAATATAAAGTTGGAAATGTTTTAGTATTAGTTTATTTTATAACTAATTGAATTACATGCGTGTAATTTATATTACAGGTCAACATAAGTTAAAAGTATTTTATCTAATTTTAAAAATCTAATAGTATAAATTATTTATCCTTGAACATTTTAAAAAATGTTTATCTTGTCTAAACTAAATTAGACTGCTTAAATTTTAATATTCTAATATTGTCTACAATAAATGTGATAAAAATTTACTTTTTTAATTTCATTTTTATTATGTAAATGTATCATTTTATAAATAACAACATTAATACAAATATCTAATTAAATTAAATGTGGATAAAAATATTGGAAATCAGTATTTGAAAAAATGTGATTTTTAAAATAATAAATTTTAAAACTTAATAAAAAATAATTATTAGATATATATATATATATATATATTTAATTAGAGTGTATTTGTAAAATTGTTAACACATTTCACGTGTCATATATACAGTAGAAGTATCATAAATACAGTATTAAAACGAAAAACGATAAAATTTTATTAAGTTATTATTATAATATAGTAATTGAAAATCATTAACACCTGATTAATATTAATAGTAACTATGCTTATAGTACTCTACCATATAGTGAGTTCACTGTAAACTTTATTTATCTTTTTTCTTTATATTATGCAATAGTGTGTCAGTTGTATATCAGTTAGAGTGTGAAGGAATAGGAGGAGACAGTCAGTCCTTTAGCACACATACCTAAGCGCTGACACTTGAAATGTATTTATAATACTGTTTTATACAGTACTGTATTAGCTGAGGACTTTCATGTGATATACATATGATTTTACACACAAAAATCTCATCCATATTTCATCACTTGATTTCATAGTAGTAAATGTCAATCAATTAATTCATATAATTATAATTGTATAAATCAAATATATATAAAACACGAGTCATTCAATTAATTTAGATTTTATATTATATTAAAACTATAACTAAAATTATATATTAATTTGATATATACATTAGCAGTTTTGTATCATTAATTAAATTTTTGTTTTTATATTGACTGATAAATTGCTGTTTTGTTGTATAGTATAATGCATTTAACATTTGGATAATAATTAGTTTTATTATAATACAGTGCTTAAGGGATGCCATTTGATGGGGAATTACAGTCAAAAAATAATTAAATGTTAATTATATATATATATATATATATATATATAGAGAGAGAGACATAAATTTAACATATCATATATGGTATAGACATTGTGTGTATTAAAATAATACAGTTTTATGCAAATAAATTTATTATTATTATTTTGGGATAAAATATTTTAAATAATTTAAGTAATAAAGTAATTTAAATAATTTTTTATTATTATTAATCATTTAGCAGTGTTTTATTAATCAATAAATATATTCATTGATAAAATTGTAAATATTTACTATAATATAAAAAAATATTATTTTTTTTATTGATTTTTACTGTTGACTGTTATGTTAGTCAATCAGTCATTTGTTTAAAACAACAGTTTTGTCTATTTTTGCGGTGATTTGTTGGACAGTTGACCCATTGGTCATCATTTTCTTGTGACAAGTGATTAAACATTAAAATCGATGGCCTCTTCTCGAATCAGTCGCCGCTACGGTCGGTACGCTCTGCTGGTGGCCGGCGCCGGCCTATCGACGTACGCCGTGTTTCGGCTGATTGACCAGAAAAAAGAGGTACACTTTAAACGAAACATTAATAAATCGATTGAAAAACTAACACAAGAGGTATGTGTTTGCATGCATTTCATAATTTTTTTTCTGCATATCATTTGCAGAGATACTTAGTATCGGCCTCATCACCACCACAGACATTAGCACAACAACAACTAAAACAATTGTCCAGCAAAGGACTACCATCAAGAGTTGATCAACTAAACAGTCTTAAATCGGGCAAAGAATTTGATGTATTGGTTGTTGGCGGCGGTGCCACGGGTTGTGGTGTTGCTTTGGATGCTATCACAAGAGGTTTGTAATTATTATTAGTATCTGTTGTTGTTATCAATTGTTTTGGTGATAACCAATTGATATGATAAAAGGTTTATCGACGGCATTGGTCGAGTTGGATGACTTTTCGTCGGGCACTTCCAGCCGTAGCACAAAACTAATCCACGGAGGCGTACGCTATCTGCAAAAGGCTATCCTCAAGTTAGATATGGAACAGTATAAGATGGTCAAAGAGGCGGTATGTCATCAGCTAATATATTTGATGAAGTATTATATTTACCATTAATACATTCAAATAGCTTCAAGAAAGAGCAAACCTCTTGGAGATTGCACCTCATCTGTCATATCCGTTGCCAATTATGTTACCGGTGTATCACTACTGGCAGATCCGTATGTATTTGATGTTTCATTTTACTAAACATTATTATATATTTTAATTTCTCAAAATTATAGCATATTTTTGGGTCGGCATTAAAATGTATGATTTGGTTGCCGGCACTAAAAATGTAAAAAAATCGTATTATCTCTCAAAGAAGGACGCAATGGAATTGTTTCCGATGTTAAAGAGTGATTCATTGGTCGGAGCGATTGTCTACTACGATGGTCAACATAACGACGCCCGTATGAATCTATCCATTGCATTGACTGCCGCCCGATATGGAGCTACTATTGCCAATCATGTGGCAGTTACTAAACTAAACAAAGATTCTGGTGGCAAGTTGATTGGCGCCAGACTACAGGATCAGTTAACTAAACAGGAATGGGATGTTAAGGCCAAAGTTATAGTCAATGCCACGGGACCGTTCACTGATAGTATCCGATTGATGGACAATCAGGAAACTAGGAAAATATGTCAGCCCAGTTCCGGTGTCCATATTGTATTACCCGGTTATTATTCCCCGGAAAGTATGGGTCTGTTAGATCCATCTACCAGTGATGGACGAGTCATATTTTTTCTGCCGTGGGAAAAGTGGACAATTGCCGGCACCACAGACAAAGTGTGCGAAGTGACTCATAATCCAGCGCCTACTGAATCCGATATTCAATTCATATTGAGTGAGATTCGACATTATCTCAGTCCCGATATCAATGTTCGTCGTGGAGATGTTATGTCCGCGTGGGCTGGTATTCGGCCACTAGTTTTGGATCCAAGCAAACCTAACACCGAATCTATTGCACGAAATCACATCATTGATTTGAGTCCTAGTGGTCTCGTAACAGTAGCCGGCGGCAAATGGACTACTTATCGAGTGATGGCACAGGAAGCGATTGATGCGGCCGTTAAAGACAATCCGGACAAAATAGGTCACGCAACTGAATGCAAGACATTGGGTTTAACTCTCGAAGGCGGACACAAATGGACGCCCACACTGTACATACATTTAGTGCAGGATTTCGGTTTGGAGCCCGAAGTGGCCCACCATTTGGCTAACACTTACGGCGACAAAGCGTTTGCCGTCGCAAAGTTAGCCGAATTGACCGGAAGACGGTGGCCAGTGGCCGGACGGCGACTGCACGTAGAATTCCCATATATTGAGGCCGAAATTAGATTTGCCGTCAGAGAGTACGCCTGTACTGCTGTCGACGTAATCGCACGGCGTTTGCGATTGGCTTTCCTCAACACACAGGCAGCTGAGGAAACATTACCGAGAATTGTCGACATTTTGGCTGAAGAACTTAAATGGAGTAAATCAGAAAAAGAGATCCAATTAAACAAAGCAAAAGACTTTTTGCGCAAAGAAATGGGACAACAGGTGGACAAAGAACTCAGAGATGTTTTACCGATTTCACTAACAAAGGATGAAATCAATAAATATAGCAAACAATTCCATTCACTCGATAGGGATAGGAAGGGATACATCGGTATTAATGATTTGAGAAGATCTATGAAAGTAAGTCAATCGATAAACTAAAGTTTGTCTATAAATTGATTAAAAATATTTTTTTATTTAATAAATACCGGTAATTATATATTTATTAGGCACAGGGAGTTAAGATAAGTGAGGATGAACTCCATCAGATGCTGAGCGAAGTGGACATCAATAAGAATGGACAGGTAGAGTTGGGCGAGTATCTGGAACTCATGAGCGCTATCAAGACTGGAACCATAGCGCACAGCAGGTTCTCGAAAGCCGCTGAGTTTGAGTACAATAAAATATCAGTGGATCGCGCGGGAGGGGGTCTATAAAATTTAGGGGAACTCCAAAAATCTCTGTTCTCACCATATGTTAGATCATTTATAGTCATCATAAACAACAGTAACAGATCATACCATTTCTGTTGATGTATTTATATCTTAAATCCTTACCTTTTCCTTACATCCAGTTTTTAAAAGTGTTTGTTTTATGCATTTATTAGCTATATATATGGTAACCGTTGTTTTATGACATCTACGGTAATGTTGAATTGTTGTAAAATTTCAATTATTGTTTGGTCACATATCTCAATATATTAATTAAATATACTATAAATTACCGGTAATATAATGGTTATAATTATACAATTAACTAGTCATACAAACTAGACATTTATTATTTGTTTTTTAAATTACCGTATCTATCGGTACTTCACTAATTATCTGACAATAATTATTAGATGTTTTAATAAAACTATTGTTTTAATTGTTTCAACTTTGGTGACAATTACTGTATATCACCTACTTAAGCACATAAACTTATATTAAGTATTTTAATGGATTATAATAAATTATATATATATATATCTAAAACATTTAAAGAAAATTAACATATTATTAATTTTTATCATTATATATGAATGTTATTATCTAATCATACGTTATTATTTTTTAAATCAATTATTTAGTAATTTATCTGAGTTTATAAATATCTAATATTTTAAATTAAATAATAAACTTAGATATATAAATAAAATATTATATATCGTTATCAATTTCTTTTTAATTTAATAATTATTTTTTCATATTAATATACATTCAAAATTGTTTGGTCCGACAAAAATTAAAACAACAAATTAGATAATAATCGGTATTTTTCATTCAATAATTATTATATGAAAATATAGTTATAATAAAAAAAATTATAATAAAAACTTTCGGTTAATAAATCGGTTAATGGATTGATACAAATACACGACCACTAAAAATGCTAACCAAAGGTGCCTTAAGAACGGGTATATTTGCCCCAAATGTGAAGCATAAAAACTGATGCGATAAATACCAAACTCATCACCAGAACAGGTACGGGACCACTGATGGACAGAAAAACAAATGAATTGATCAGACAATCAAATGTTGGATCTAATAATCATATCTTACACTTTAATGCCGGGCGAGTCGTCCGTATAGAACCTCCACATACCGCCGCTATTGGCCGCCGCCGCTCTCGATCGGTTGCCGCCACCACTGCTGGTTCCGCCGCCAACCTTACGCTGTTTAACAGTACTACCGCTACCACCTGAGCTACGGGTAGGCATAGCGCGTGGCGAACGACTGCCGGCGCCCACTGATGTACTGCTGGCCGATGCAGGCTATCGTTAAAACAAATCAATAGATCAGATGATTGCGTTGATTATTATCTGGCCATCAATTCTCTTAAACTTACCATATCTTTGGGTTAATCACTAAAACCGAGTCCGAGTCTTATGAATGGATTGAAAAAAATAAATGATTTGGCGATTGATTGCAGTATTTGATTGATTCAATCAAATTGAATGTATTGTATGTATGTATTGAAGGTATCGTTTAAATGATGTGTTGTTTATAACACATATACACAACACGTCATCAATTGATACAAAAAATATTATAATAAAATCACTAACTTTTGGTTTACAGTACAATATAAGAACGTCATTTGTGGACAACCCTTATATATATAAATAATTTATGGATATTAACTTAGAGTAACGTTTGATGTGAACAGTATATTGTAATAATTGGTAACCAAATTGGCAATAGAGAGGCGCCACTCACTGTACTAACCAATCAACGATTTGTTAGTGTGTTTGTGTGTTACTCACTATTATATACATACTCTTCATGTTATAAATGTCCAACACTGAAAATGGGCGGAGCCTACAATTAAACACAACTACTATACATATTGTAGCATTTTGTAGGTATATATATTATATATTATATATTAAATCTATAATCTATGGTTTGTTTATAAGGCAAAGTCTATGTATGTTTTGACTATTACTTAAAAAAGCGTTATATACGCCACTATTATATACAGTGTGTGTACTGTAGTGTAGTATTGAATGCAATCTAAGTGTTAGTGTATTATAATCAGAGGTCCTGTCAATTTTGCAGTTGTGTGTATGTCTCCTCCCACTTATCACGCAAACAGTGTAGTAACAGTTACTGCTGTACTGTAGCTATTACTACACTGTTTGCGTGATAAGTGGGAGGAGACATACACACAATTTTTAAGCAGACTTTTTCTTTGATTATAATATCGAGTGATGTCATGTGCGTTATGACCGGCGACTCATACCATACACACACACATACAGACAGACAGACAGACAGATACTACCGGAGCCCACAATAATTGATTCATTTTTTCTTTTTTTGTTGTTATTGTTTTAGTTGATCCCATAATTAATTGGTTAAATAATAGGATCCGTTTGACAAAACCGCCAAATAATAGTATAGTCTTTGATTAATTGGTTGATATCATTAGTTTCCTGAAGTATTGACATCATTGACGAAGAAGTTGTGGTTGAAATTGATTTCACCCGTCATATGAACTGCTTTTTGTATATTATTATTATTATCTCTTCTGTTCACTTCACACGTGTGTTCTCCACTTAGTCCGTAAAATGGCTAAACAAGATGACAAAATCGACAACAATATTGAAGATAACACGACAACGTCTGAATTGGCTGAAGAAGATAATTTGATTTCATTTGTTTTTAACTTTGCATGTGATTACCAGATGCACGACTCAGAGAGACCTATTGAAGAGGTCAAAAGACCGCCGGCAAATAATGCCATTTGTTCGGCCACCGGTCTAATGATTGACCAGAAAAAAGAGGTACACTTTAAACGAAACATTAATAAATCGATTGAAAAACTAACACAACACTCAAAAAAAAAATCTTTGCAAAATTGAAAATTTGATATTTAATTTTAAATTAAGTAAAATTTTTCAAAAAATTTATAATTTGGTAAAATTTTATATTTGAAAATTTTCAAAGCTTTTTCAATATTTTTAGTAAAATTTTACCATATATTTATAATTTTTGGAAAAGTGATGTCACATAAAATAATATGGGATAACAACTAATAATGTAATATAAAAAATTAACCAAGATGTAAAACACTATGCGTCATTATAGCAGTTACTAGCACTGATTTAATTAGCCAATAGTATTCATTTATTTTTTGATGACACCCAGATAGTAATGGACAGCCAGCAGTATACATATTAATGTTATTGTTATAACCGTTGTTATTAATGTGATTAATTGTGTTATATATTGATATAATTAATAATTAATAACAATCTCAATAAAAATAGTGACCTAACAACTGATAATAAATTGTATATTAAATAAATATTACAGTATTTAACAGTTAACTGTAAATTATTAAAAATAGTTATAATTGTATTGATTATTATATCTATTATATTGATATAATGTATTGTATGTACACTGTTGTGTAAGTATTAAACAAATAATAGATATATTTAGTTATTTAATATACACTATATTATAGAGCATTTTTAACAGTGCTGTAAATTATTAATTTTAATTATAATAGTATTAGTTATTAGATTTGTTGTATTGATACAATGTATTGTAAATATTTGTTAATAGTTATGTAAATATTATGTAAATAATTGATATTTTATATTCATTTACTATCTATTATATACAGTATTTTATGTATTAATGCCTTATATTGTATTATATTTTGTTTATATGACTATTGTATTAATATCATGTATTGTCTGTATTTATTATGTACTGTATACAGTATTTTATTATATTATTTGAATTCTTCATATATTTTAATAAATACAGTAATATTTTACTTATCGTTTCACACATATTTTGAATATTTTACACAAATGAAAAAATTATGTAAAATTTGAAAGCTTACAAATTACAATATTGAAAATTTTACTTAACAATTTAAAATATATAGTTAATTATGTTTTAATTACAATAATGAAAATTTTACAAAACTGATTTCCATTTTTAACGTAATATTTTACAAAATGTGTTCATAAATGAAAAATTTTACTTTTACCAAAAGTTGGTAAAATTAAATAAATTTTACAAAATAAACAAGTTAAGAATGCTAGATAGCATTATTGAAAAAAAACTTTGACGGCATAAAATATTATGTTCATAAATTAATTGTCAGTTGATTTAGTCATTGACATAGTCAAATAACAGTATGACAAAATAAGCACAACTTTAGTCATGTAGGGTATAAACTTACTCGGTATGACAAATTAAACTCAACTTTAGTCAAATAAAATAAATTTGACGTTATATATCTTATTTTTGATGCTCTATACAATTCTGAACGTTAAAATTTTTACCTAAAATTTTTTACTTTGGGCGCCATTTTCTCTGTTCACGAAGAGATAGATCATTTTTGATGCAACTTTTCAATACATTATTAGTAGTCCTCTAACCGAATCTTAAGTCAGAATTTCAAAATTCGAAAATAAAATGCTACAGACACACAAAAGGCTCGTATAGATTTCAGAAAACAAAACTCAATTTTTTTTTTGAAAACAAATCAATTAAAATCTTGAAAATTTTACAAATGTTTTTTGGGTGTAAGAGGTATGTGTTTGCGTGCATTTCATAATTTTTTTCTGCATATTTGCAGAAAAAAGTTTCGCCATCACCACCGCCATCACCATCACCACCGCCATCACCATCACAACCGCCATCACCATCACCACCGCCATCATCAGCAACAAAACCTGTTGTGATTGCCAGCTCTCAATCACCCAAAACTATTAAACAAAGAGAAGACAGAGACAGGAAAGAATTGAAGGCTGAAAGAGACGCCGAAAGAAAGAAAAAAGAAAGAAAGAAAAAAGAAAGACATTAATGTGTAAGATATGATTATTAGATCCAACATTTGATTGTCTGATCAATTCATTTGTTTTTCTGTCCATCAGTGGTCCCGTACCTGTTCTGGTGATGAGTTTGGTATTTATCGCATCAGTTTTTATGCTTCACATTTGGGGCAAATATACCCGTTCTTAAGGCACCTTTGGTTAGCATTTTTAGTGGTCGTGTATTTGTATCAATCCATTAACCGATTTATTAACCGAAAGTTTTTATTATAATTTTTTTTATTATAACTATATTTTCATATAATAATTATTGAATGAAAAATACCGATTATTATCTAATTTGTTGTTTTAATTTTTGTCGGACCAAACAATTTTGAATGTATATTAATATGAAAAAATAATTATTAAATTAAAAAGAAATTGATAACGATATATAATATTTTATTTATATATCTAAGTTTATTATTTAATTTAAAATATTAGATATTTATAAACTCAGATAAATTACTAAATAATTGATTTAAAAAATAATAACGTATGATTAGATAATAACATTCATATATAATGATAAAAATTAATAATATGTTAATTTTCTTTAAATGTTTTAGATATATATATATATAATTTATTATAATCCATTAAAATACTTAATATAAGTTTATGTGCTTAAGTAGGTGATATACAGTAATTGTCACCAAAGTTGAAACAATTAAAACAATAGTTTTATTAAAACATCTAATAATTATTGTCAGATAATTAGTGAAGTACCGATAGATACGGTAATTTAAAAAACAAATAATAAATGTCTAGTTTGTATGACTAGTTAATTGTATAATTATAACCATTATATTACCGGTAATTTATAGTATATTTAATTAATATATTGAGATATGTGACCAAACAATAATTGAAATTTTACAACAATTCAACATTACCGTAGATGTCATAAAACAACGGTTACCATATATATAGCTAATAAATGCATAAAACAAACACTTTTAAAAACTGGATGTAAGGAAAAGGTAAGGATTTAAGATATAAATACATCAACAGAAATGGTATGATCTGTTACTGTTGTTTATGATGACTATAAATGATCTAACATATGGTGAGAACAGAGATTTTTGGAGTTCCCCTAAATTTTATAGACCCCCTCCCGCGCGATCCACTGATATTTTATTGTACTCAAACTCAGCGGCTTTCGAGAACCTGCTGTGCGCTATGGTTCCAGTCTTGATAGCGCTCATGAGTTCCAGATACTCGCCCAACTCTACCTGTCCATTCTTATTGATGTCCACTTCGCTCAGCATCTGATGGAGTTCATCCTCACTTATCTTAACTCCCTGTGCCTAATAAATATATAATTACCGGTATTTATTAAATAAAAAAATATTTTTAATCAATTTATAGACAAACTTTAGTTTATCGATTGACTTACTTTCATAGATCTTCTCAAATCATTAATACCGATGTATCCCTTCCTATCCCTATCGAGTGAATGGAATTGTTTGCTATATTTATTGATTTCATCCTTTGTTAGTGAAATCGGTAAAACATCTCTGAGTTCTTTGTCCACCTGTTGTCCCATTTCTTTGCGCAAAAAGTCTTTTGCTTTGTTTAATTGGATCTCTTTTTCTGATTTACTCCATTTAAGTTCTTCAGCCAAAATGTCGACAATTCTCGGTAATGTTTCCTCAGCTGCCTGTGTGTTGAGGAAAGCCAATCGCAAACGCCGTGCGATTACGTCGACAGCAGTACAGGCGTACTCTCTGACGGCAAATCTAATTTCGGCCTCAATATATGGGAATTCTACGTGCAGTCGCCGTCCGGCCACTGGCCACCGTCTTCCGGTCAATTCGGCTAACTTTGCGACGGCAAACGCTTTGTCGCCGTAAGTGTTAGCCAAATGGTGGGCCACTTCGGGCTCCAAACCGAAATCCTGCACTAAATGTATGTACAGTGTGGGCGTCCATTTGTGTCCGCCTTCGAGAGTTAAACCCAATGTCTTGCATTCAGTTGCGTGACCTATTTTGTCCGGATTGTCTTTAACGGCCGCATCAATCGCTTCCTGTGCCATCACTCGATAAGTAGTCCATTTGCCGCCGGCTACTGTTACGAGACCACTAGGACTCAAATCAATGATGTGATTTCGTGCAATAGATTCGGTGTTAGGTTTGCTTGGATCCAAAACTAGTGGCCGAATACCAGCCCACGCGGACATAACATCTCCACGACGAACATTGATATCGGGACTGAGATAATGTCGAATCTCACTCAATATGAATTGAATATCGGATTCAGTAGGCGCTGGATTATGAGTCACTTCGCACACTTTGTCTGTGGTGCCGGCAATTGTCCACTTTTCCCACGGCAGAAAAAATATGACTCGTCCATCACTGGTAGATGGATCTAACAGACCCATACTTTCCGGGGAATAATAACCGGGTAATACAATATGGACACCGGAACTGGGCTGACATATTTTCCTAGTTTCCTGATTGTCCATCAATCGGATACTATCAGTGAACGGTCCCGTGGCATTGACTATAACTTTGGCCTTAACATCCCATTCCTGTTTAGTTAACTGATCCTGTAGTCTGGCGCCAATCAACTTGCCACCAGAATCTTTGTTTAGTTTAGTAACTGCCACATGATTGGCAATAGTAGCTCCATATCGGGCGGCAGTCAATGCAATGGATAGATTCATACGGGCGTCGTTATGTTGACCATCGTAGTAGACAATCGCTCCGACCAATGAATCACTCTTTAACATCGGAAACAATTCCATTGCGTCCTTCTTTGAGAGATAATACGATTTTTTTACATTTTTAGTGCCGGCAACCAAATCATACATTTTAATGCCGACCCAAAAATATGCTATAATTTTGAGAAATTAAAATATATAATAATGTTTAGTAAAATGAAACATCAAATACATACGGATCTGCCAGTAGTGATACACCGGTAACATAATTGGCAACGGATATGACAGATGAGGTGCAATCTCCAAGAGGTTTGCTCTTTCTTGAAGCTATTTGAATGTATTAATGGTAAATATAATACTTCATCAAATATATTAGCTGATGACATACCGCCTCTTTGACCATCTTATACTGTTCCATATCTAACTTGAGGATAGCCTTTTGCAGATAGCGTACGCCTCCGTGGATTAGTTTTGTGCTACGGCTGGAAGTGCCCGACGAAAAGTCATCCAACTCGACCAATGCCGTCGATAAACCTTTTATCATATCAATTGGTTATCACCAAAACAATTGATGGCTAAATTGAAGCTGAGCTACCGGAGCTAAAACTCGGTTTTTTCAACGGAAAACAGATCTTCGGGTCCTAATAAACATATATCGATAAAAATTATTGCGCGAAAACACCAGTACTCAAATCTGACCTAACATACCTGACCTTATATACATAAACTTAATATAATATATCAAACTTTAATACATAATATTTAGTAATTATAACTGTTAGCGCGAGAATATTATTTTTAATTGTTAACAATAAAAGGAACGGTAAAACGTGGCGAACCGGTCATACATTAGCTTAGGTTAAGTTAACATTTTTATATATTAATCGAAACAAGTATTCTTTGCGTGTAAAATAAAAGTGTTTAAATTCATTTTATTGAAAAAGTTAATGAAATTTAATAAATTGTAAAATTGTCATTTAAATCTATAACATCTCTTTAATCACTGGTCAAATTTTGATTATTTTCGGTAAACCATTTCATCTGATTTTGAACCGAAAAAGATTTTTATGACTACTTCCAGATTTTTAATTTTTTCAATATCAAAGATGTCTTTTATTTATTCAAATAAATAGTAATCTGACAAAGCAATATATGATGAATATAATGATTCATCAATGGTTTTAATAAATCCTATAAATTTATTATAATTCAATTGTATAAAAAATTTTGGTTTATTTTCACTTAAGTGGCCTATAGTTAAGAAGTGAAATTATTTAGTACTTAAATTAATGGCACATATCTTCAGCGAATTGAGTCAAAATGTCTTATAATAGTTCATAAATCATTACCCAATATCTTTCTCATCTTTTATCATCAAAACTCTGGATATAACTTCACTAAGTCCTTCAAAATTTTAGTATTAATATTAGGTAGTTTTTCTGACTATTTTCTGTCTTTTACATTAACCTCTACTTCTTTCCATCATTTTTTATTTGTCAAATTAATGCTTACATTTAGTTTTTCATAAGAAGCTTTACTAAGATTTTTGGCCTCCATTATTTCATTATTTAATCAACGATATATGTATTTTTGAGCATATATGAAAATGATGTCATGTGACTTTAAGCTATGTAACGACTTTATTAATAACTTTATTTTAAATGTTTAATAACATAATTAAAATTCAATAATGTAACTGTTGAATTACAAAAAAAATAAAATTTTAATCATTACATAGATCTCACAAAAACAAATTAAAATTTCATTATTTTTGAAACGCAAAGAATACTTGTTTCGATCGATAAAATACAATTTTATTGTTAACAATTAAAAATAATATTCTCGCGCTAAACTGTTATGATTACTAAGTATTATGTATTGAAGTTTGTTATATTATATTAAGTTTATGTATATAAGGTCAGGTATGTTAGGTCAGATTTGAGTAGGTTGTTGGTGTTTCCACGCAATAATTTTTATTGATGAATCAACAAAATGACGATCAAATTCAAGAAAAATGAAAGTAAAACCATTACTGACCCTCAAAAATATTGCTTATTGCTTGAAATTTTCAAATATGGTTACCAGTGCCGGGTATTATGACAATACCCGAAGGGGTCTGGAATTTCGGGAAGACGTCCTATGGACGGATGATTCACCAATTAAACTATTTCCGAAGTTAAATCATCAAAATACCCGTATTAGACCATTAAATAAGACAAATCAAATTGTTGGCCGACCTAAATTTTCACTAAAAATCATGGTTGCGGGTGGTATTATAGCTAGTGGTAAAACAGATATATGTCTGTCCGTCAAAAGAGACTATCGGTGGACATGTTTATGAATTATAGCAATTCGCAGTGATTCACAAATATCGGTTCAAAGATAGTTCTTTATTAAAGCCGCGCTTAATATCACTTTCTCCAGCTGTAAAGTTGACACGAAAACTACACGGATCATCACCTCCAATATGATGACACCCTCAACGACAGAAATCGCAACGCTCTTACATTGATATTTATAATTCGTAATTCAGAAATGCCTTATATGCATTAGGATAAACACTAATTAAACCTCATTTAACTTTGTTTATGCTGAGACGTCCCGATCCCGCCGTTACTTCCACTGCTTCGTTGTTTGTCGTTCCCTGTTCTCCGCTTCCGCAGATCGGCATACCATGAACACTATATACTCTATGTATCACTTATTTACTTATATTTACA